TGTCCTGCGAGAGTCTCAGTCGAGGATATCGCGGGATCACCGCTGAAATCGCTGCTCGTCACGGATCACCGGTGCCCGGGAACGAAAAAGGAGAAACAGGAAGTCCTGGAGGCGCTTTCGCGTCGAAACGGTTATTTCACGACGACGTAATTCCACGACGCGACTTTTTCTGTCCGGCTGATGCCTTCCTAAACCGGTAATCGCGTAATCTTATTAGCCGACTTTCTGAAAACCGTCCACTTGCCGCACTATGCTCGACTTTTATATCTACATAGTGCATACGTAGACATATTATGTACCTACATATGCAGGTATGTACGTATAACATTACGTCACGTTTTAAGATTCTATTTGTTATTATTATCATAGATATTCCAGCGCGAGGATAGATTCGTCTAAAACTAACTCCACTAAATTTTCGTCGATATCGACGAATAAACAGAGTGTCGCGTCAGCCTGGCGGCGCACGAGGCGAGGACCTGATTAAACGTTCCATGGCCTAACCGAGTCGTCTACACGTTGCATTGTAAACGTTAATGGTACCTCCCGCGTTGATTATAATTCGACGGACGCCACCGATAATGAATACAGTGAAATCCTTTAATGAACCGTTTCCCTCGGCGAACTCCTAATCAGACGTATCCTATTAGAGCCGTTCGGCTATCGAGTTTGTCTAACGAATTATGGAACAGTGTGTTTCGCTATTATCCAGTTAACAATCTAGCAGAACGTTGATTCGATTCCAATCATAGCTAACGACGTATTCTTTCGCTGAACTACTCCAGTCTTACAAGGGAAGGCACGGAAGTGCCCCCCTCCGATTTTGATGAAACTTCGTCTGTCTGTTAAGCAGTCAAAAATAAGGGATACGTATTTTTTTTTATCGGCTGAGACGCGACTTTAAGGGGTGAAACCATCTCTCGAAGTTTGACTTAGTATTTAATCACGAAAATCGACAGTCGTTGCAATAACCTTCTAGCTTCGTTCGCGTGTTCGACTTCTCCTCGCGAATTTGATCCGATCAGTTAATCGTGGCTGCTCGACATTTACATGGCTCTAAACGTACAAGACTGTCTGATAAAAATTAATTCCACGTATCATTTCGATGTCACGCATCGTTGACTGTCGCGTCGTTTAAAAATAAAAAATTCATAGAAGCGTCTGGACGGGCGGACAACACCAGACGGAGAATTAGAAATGCATCGAAGATACGATTGTTTTGTTCGGTTGCGACTTCGTGCGACCAACAATCTCTTGCTAGGTATATACGTGATCTCTCTGCCAACACAAGTTCCTTCGCAGAGGTGAATCACTACTCGTGACTCACACACGAATTCATTCGCAAACCCAACAGCGTCGTGCCGCACTGCATCGCCCGGTTAGTGTTTTTTTAACGAATTCGAAACAATGTTATCGCAGCCGAGTACCTTCCCTCTTACCCTCTCGATATCGTCGCGAAGCAGAAGGTTCGATATCAATCAGGACAAACTCGTAACTCAAGCAAGGGAGTCAAAAGTGCCCTTAGACCGATGTTGACTTGTAATATACCATTCGATAGCTTGTCAAGAAAAAATAGTCTGTGCCAAGTTTGAACCCTATATCTCGCTATACGTGAAATCATACAATATACTTATTTAATAGAGGAAATACAAAAATTCAAAGTATAAGTTACAAAGTAATAACTACAAGTCAAAATCGGTCTAAGGGCACTTTTGACCTTCTTATCCTCCTATACCCTTTACATTGTTTCTGTACCATATGGGTACATATGTATGTATATGAAATTGTTTCCCGGAAGCGTGACCACTGTCTGGAATCGTAACAGCCCGGATGCTACCGATGTCGGTGATCGGTCTGCCCGCCCAGCCGTGCTTCGTAATTTCCGTGTAAAGTGTTGGCGATTCTTTTAAATATTCCTGCAGCAAGGTAACGGGCCGCAGTAAAATATAATGCACGGCGCAACGTTCAACTTAACGCGCAATAACTTACGACGGTTACGGCCCTTAACTCTGTTTCATCGTACCACGTGAAAATAGTCAGATTAATGAGATTTGTCTGAAAGCGTTCCGACTCCGAGCCGCCCGTCGCCATGACTAAGGATTAATGGGCTAAACAACGATGTTCCCGTACTCTTCTACTCGATCCCGAGACCCGCGACCCGCGACGCAGTTTCCTGCCAATAAAATTTTTAACCGAAAGATAAAATGTGGCGTCTTCGACCACGATTACACCGGCCATTATGGTGTTACTTAAGCCGAACCGTTTGAGCGATTGGAATACTTTAGCGGGCTTAACATTCCACTTCGAGGTTCGCTACCAAAGAAATTCTTGGGAAAATATACATCGTCACGATCCCAAGAACGATAAGAAAAATGTTCTTTCACTAGGTACGAACGACCATCGACGAATGTTCCACGGGAAAAAAAACGAATCACGGTCACAATCGGTGGAGAATGAAATTAGTTATGAATGTTTGATCCACGTGCTTGAATGTGCAACCAAGTTCGATCAATTAAGAGTTAACGAAGAAAAAAGAAAGGCTGTCTCTCTAGCCGATCCTCGAGGAAGGAAGAAGAAAAACGAGGGGAAGGGGGGCGGGAGGGAGGGAGAAATCCGCTTTCTGCAATTAATCGCATCAAGGACGACTTTCCCAGGCTTGAAGAGATGTCGAGGGGAAATTCATCGGATCAAGTTGCTGGAGAGGCACAATGGCCGGTTGATCTCCTTAATTGAAATGCTTCAATTAGAGCATCGTTTGAAAGAAAGAGAGAGAGAGAGCACGCGCAAAAGGAACAGAAAAAAGAGGAACCAAACGAAAAGCTAAGAAGAGTCGAAGGAGTTGTGTCACGATTGGTTGAGGCTTCTTTTACGGGAAACGAGGAAAAAGAAAGTTTTTCCCAGGCGTCGCGCAACAGATATTCCACAATGGGCCCGATTCCCGCGTTCATTAGAGGCAGACGTTAGATTTTTATCAGCTGTTCATCGGCGAATATGAGCCGAGAAGAAAAGAAATTCATCGTTAAGAAACTTTAATAACACTGATCACGAATATCATCCACTTAATCCGTCACGGGATATCGACGTTCAACAATAGCAGCAACAGTTCCCATCAAGACGAATTCGCAAAGCGAAATTCGTGTATTTCGAGCGATTGTTTCCGTCTACTGACACATCTACTAATAGGTATGTATTTCCTTGACCAATGTTCCTTCTGTAGACACCTATATCACGGTCAAGTTTTTCCGTAAGTGGACGTTCACCGATCTGACGCGATCAGTCCGCTGCTCTGCATTCTCATCCGACATTTTTTCCCGCTTTCTATTCCCTTTTTCGGGGGAGCCCCACTTTCGGATCGTTCGCGATAACCGGCTTCTTTCGTATGCAAAGACCTGGCCGCGATACTGTTATTGTTTCTAGACGAGTGTACAGCCGTGCTGCGTGCCTCGGGAATTTAATCTTTCCTCGGAGAAAGGTTCCCCGCGAGTCATGGATGGAAACCTGATACCGTCCAGTTTCGGAGCGAAGAGAACCGTATATACACACGCATGTACCTATGTACACCTAATATTTATAATACAAAGAAAATTCTTTTTCAAGTGGACAAACGCATTAGGCCAATCGAAGACGTCGAGAACTCGACGCTTCGAAATTAGCATTTCAATTTGTCCGCGCAGGTGTTCCGCAGGCGGCAGCCGCGACATCGACCCGAAGACGATCGACGAGTCCTGTCGAGTCTTCGGCTGGTGAACACCTGACATTTTCAATGCAAACCCTCCGCGTACAATGCTCAGGACACAGCCATTTACATAGCTGTCTGCACACTCTTATCCTATCTTATTTCTCTTTCTATACCGATGGACGAATGTTATTAGATTGGAGCGCGTAAAATCATTGTATTTTCTAACTGCACTCCAGAAATACCTACATAGGTACATAGATAGATTGAACGTACATACATATGTACTCTCACGAACAAACTCAGCTTCCGCTAGGGGAAAAAGAGGTGTAGAAGAAAAGTCTCCTACCACTTACTAAATTTATGACAAGTTCGGAAATAAATGCTAAACCGAATATTAATTTGGCATAAATTACAGTAACTCCCACAACTAAATGGTAGCAGGCCCTTCGCCAACTTTACTTTTTTCCCTAGCGGAAGCTGAGTTTGCTCGTCGGTGTACATACAACATAACATATGTATGTATGTTGAAGCAGGCAACTATTCAAGTCAAATTTCCAAGCTTGCACGATGCAGACCCCGTTCTCTGTCCTAACGAAGACGCACAACGTAATTGGCTTTCGATTGTAACCCGGCTACCTGTTAATTTATCAATGGCCTCATGCTCCCTCGTGCGTGCGTTATACAGACAGAGAAGTTAATCCCGTGATTAAACGCGGTACGCGGCTCGCTCGGTGGTATATACCGAGACGAACCACGAGACGTTCTTACGAAATGATCACATTAATCATTTGTCAGAACCCGTTTTTACGGAATCCTTTCGAAAAGAGTAGTCAGTGTTCCACACCCCTCCGATTGTGTTCGCGATAGAGTCTTGATCGGCTATAGAAAAATTATTCCGAGATGTTACGGGATGATGTAAATGTCAACGCTAACTATTGCCACCTACGGACATTCCTATAAAATGAAATGTTTTATCCAAGGCAATGCGCAGGAATCTATGAGAACACGTTGCATCGAAATAAAAGATGCCGTTTTTTCGAAACGAATCATATTGTCAGGTTTGTCGTGCTCCTATGTATGGAAAGGAACGGATGATTAAAACCGAGTCTACGAAAAATAGTTCCCTAGATCGTTTCGAAACGTTTCTATTTGCACCAGTTACAACATCAACACGCCGTAATATTTCACTGGCCTGAGCAAATGCGCATCGTTACGTTCCTCGTCAAACGAACGAGCTTTTATTGCCAGCTACGGCACGTACTGTTATCGTTAACTGTACAAGAGGACGTAAAGCGTAACTAGATACACGTCGTAGACTTACCTTAGCGCGCGTTGTGTGGTCTTCATTTCTGGCTATTTCCCCGCGAATTCTTCGAAATGATTCCCTCTCAACGTCGATCCATCGATTCGTTTCAGCGTGGGGCACACACACACACAAACACAAAATAGACACCACGAGTACTCGACGAGATAAACGAAAACACTCCGAGGCACAATTTGGCACACACTGTGAGCAGAAAGAGCACCGAGCTTCGGCTTCGCGATTCCGTATACACCTATCAATCACTTCACTGTGTTATTTTCGTGCGCGTCGATTCGATGGGCAACAATCTCAATTATTGAAATTAATGGAAAGCGCCGACGTGAGTGGCTACGCTTACGCTACCAGAAATCCGTCAAAGAATCGCGAACAACGTTAAGCACTTTAAAGGATTCCTACCGATTCAACAATGGCAGGATCAAAATTTCCGCCGATCCTTGATGTATTGTTCTCGTTTCACGATTCTGCATCAGTCGAATTGGATGACAGTCGCCGGTAATGATAAAAAGAACCTTAAGGTTGTGCAGCATATGGGTAGCGCTTCCATCGAGCTGGCGATGGTAAGAGGCACGAATTAGATTAGTGGGTCTCGCGACCGAGACACTTGGAGGTTAGGTCGAGTACAGAGAGAGCCACATAACCTCTGTTTCACCAACCCATTGATTCTACGACAGTGTCGTCCGCAGCGAATTGTACCACACCGTCGAAATACTGATTCATTTTATTGCCGCAACGCGCATTTCGACCTTCAGTAATTTCAAATAACGATTGTCATGGCTGCTGATGTATCACGCGAAACTCGAATAATTCACCGACGATAACTGCTCTCTTCACTCGCGAAACATTGTTCGACCTCAACACTCGATATCCCCCAACTTGTAAATGAACACAGTTGCAATGACGCGCGCCCTGACGGGAGCATCACGGTGTCGTGTACTGGGGTACGTTTGTTTCTGTCGTCCGCTGGCTCCAAACTCACTATTTATTCCCCTTGAGTGCACTCCGATGTCCTGTTCGTTATCTTCGGCTCGACACACCGGTATTTCACCTTTCTTTTGTTCTTTTTCTTTTTTTCTCAAAAGCTACCGCTTTGAGCGTTTTCTTCGAACCTTTCCGCTCCGTTGAACTGGAAACTTCACCCAGAATCTTCAGGTGCCGGGTTCATCAACGCAACACAACGCAACGTAAAAGCATGCCACTTAACAAACGGTTGAATCGCTTTGCTTACGCGATAAACACACGGTGGACCGTGTTAGCGGAGAAATCGAATCGAGTTTCTCTGTACCAAACGATGTCAAACAAGAAGATTCCATGGGAAATTCGCGTGGAATGATCGATACGATAATCGGAGCACGACGACGTCGGTTTGGAAAGTCGAAAAACTTGGAATCATGCGGCAGGTGCAAAAGGTGCCGGTTTACACGGAGAAGCGAGCGACCTCCTCTCTTTGCCAGGTCCCAACCGAGAGGTCCACCGTACGAGGACTGGTTTCACGAGACTCCCTGTACCCGACCGGCCAGACTACTGTGGAGAGCGGACTCGTGGAGTGTGGGTCCCGTTCTTCGGAGAGAGGTTTATTCCAGCGAGCGCGAGGAAGTACTGTTACTTAGAGACAGAGCCTTCGGGGCCCACAACGTGCTGCAAAACGCGATGCAAACCTGAACGCGGTAGATGTACAATAATTCCGAGCCGTCGTACAGAGATAAAAAGAAATCCATTTATTTCGTGACCGTTTCTTCTCGCAAGGTGTCCTTACTGTACCGTTCGAACGTTACGACACAGAAGTCTTTCGAACCGTGTAACAACAGAGTCGATATTAACCGACGTCAGTGCTATTCTTCTGTCTTCAAGCTACGAGCTTGGTAATGTACTCGATGCACTCGATGCACTCGATGCACTCGATGCACTCGATGCACTGCCTGCACAGATCCAATGTGTATTTATCTTCTTTTTGGAGTTGCAGCCCGAGAGGCGGTCAGCATTGACATATCCGGTAGTGTTAATGTTTTGATATCTTTGGTCTTGCCGCACAACCTACTCGAAAGTAAGACACCCAAAGCGTTTTGTATTATTTTCGAATTTCAAACTCGTGGAAATGGTGTCTCGTACACAACAAACGCTTAAAGGTCACGCGAATCTAATTGCACGATCGCTAGAATGCACATTGCGTATGATGTATTGTATGGAACATGTACGCGTGCGTGGACACGCACCGACGAATCGCGTGTCCTCCTTCACCCTCTGTTTACTTCTGTGCACGCGAGATTTTAGCGAATCGGAGCTCGATTTTTTGGTAGTCAGTGTTTGCACCAGTGCCCTGCACACTTAAACAGAAATTCATGTCGAACACTGTAACACGTTTTCCAATTAGGTACTTTCTTCTGTCTCCTGCTCTTTTGTCGTGAAAACGAGAACGAAACTACGAAAGATACGCTCACCGCTCGGTAGTCGCGGCTCGACTGGACGACTGGCCGCCTCCGCGCTATTACCCGCCGTACTCACGCCCGTACCAATCATACCGGGGCCCCACGCACAATCTATCACCGCTTCACGTATACCTATAATCTCGAACAGCAGGCAATCCATGGATTTCTTAATTTTAACAAGTGGCCCACTCTATTTATAATTATTAAGTTCAACAATTTCTCGTGGTAACTGTATGTTTAGATTTTCTCTACGAATTAAAACGTCACTATTGCGGTTCGTGAAGCAAACCGAATACTAATCCAGGCTGAATACTTTATTCCGCTAAATATTTTCCAAAACAGTTCAAGTTATTTGTATAAGTCGAAAAGTTGTTATACCCACGTACCTGCACGTGCTCGCGTGTTAACTCTTACGGCAACCCATGTGCACGTATCATATGCAGTACATGCGTACGTGTCGTCGGTGCGTACAAATACACCAAGGAGCGGGTGTAACCGGTTTCACCGATTTTTTCCCGAAAAGCTGTCGCCGACGGTTTATAAAATTGCTTGCTCTTTGTCGTTGGTTGACACACACGGTCACTCATAGAAACTATGTTTGGATAGTTTTTAGAGAATACTTCGATAAACTGTATAAAATTGACGCGAGCAAATTTCTGTTAGTTATTATAAAACGTGAAATGAAATATTGAAAGGATCTGGAGGAAAACAATGGCTACCTGTACCTTCGATACACGCTGCGTAACAGGAATGGATTTTTCAAAATTCCAAACGTGTAATCGTCATGCACTGGATAATGTAAGGTGACACCAAGGCAGTCTAGTACGGAATTGAGACCCAAGCTCAACATCACCGTGACCAAGCTCAATTGAATGGAGTCCCTTGCCTGTGATGCATACCTGTACAACATCGTATTCAATTTTCGTCTATAATAATTACATCACAGAGCTTACAGTTGAAAAAATTGTTGCCGGGATATGGCAAAGATTTCAGGAGTGGAGATTATTACGTCGACAGCTACGCGGCAAATTCTCATTGAATTTATTCTGTTTATGAAGCAAAGAGATTCTCTGTTCTTTGAAGCGTGGAGGCAGATTGTTGGAGGCGATTCATCGCGGGAACTGTTCCGTTGTCATCGAACACAGCAATTTCACTTTCCACGACATTTTTTCTCACGATGTTTCAGTTGATCACAATACGAATTGAATGACGCTATACCGAGAATGCTAATTATATACATGGAATTATACGATCGGGTTGATTGAATGCTCCCGATTTGACAGCCACCGTTACAAATTTTATAGATGACACAATTTTGTGATTCATTGTTTGAGACAAAATGATTCACTCTTTTCCTATAAGGGACATGTATTTCGTTTGATTTAAAAACATTAATACGACACCTGAAATCATAAAACAATTCCGTCTCGATTGTATCGCTATTATGTTTCCGTTGAGAACCCTAATAACTTATGATTTGTGTCTGTACGCACCGTCCATAAATAAAATGAAAGACTGGGAAGAAAAAAAAAGGGTTTGATCACCGTTAATCTGATAAGATAGAATAATGAAATTGCGTTTAAGCGTCATAAATCTACGTCGAGCCTTACGCGTTGCATGATCTTTTGAAGATGCAATATCAATGCGACGACGCCTGCGGAGACGATCATTTGAATCGCCGCTTAATAAATTGAGTCATTACTAGCACGAGGCAGAATACATAGCGAAAGTAATCACTGGAAATGTGCAGCAACGATTGTGGGTGCAACTATTGACAATAAAACCAGCATCCAGCGTGTTTTTGCGTTCCGTAACATGATGTACATGTGCATACATACAGGGGTATAAGTACAATGAGCTTCTGCGAGCAGACATACACCTTTAGATGTGGCTATGAATCGTATGCTGGGTTATGAATTTAACGTAACATGCACAGTATTCAATCTTTTATTTCGAGTAACAGTTTATGTATGCTGGACTATTTATGTATGTATGTATCTGAATGATTTCCGATAAATATCGAAATTTTTTTATTGCAGCAGTCGAAAAAACAGACCTCTATCGCACCGATTATCCTGTAGCAGCAACCAGTAGAGCTGAAAAGGTGGAAAGTGCTACCACCTAAAGGTTGAATCCCGCAACTAGTCATTCCGTGACTGGATGCCGGTCGAACAAAATGTACATATGTAATTCGTAGCGCATCATACAGAAAAGTAAGTGTACAAACTTTTATGATTATTTTTCTTATACTCGGATCCTTTTTACAAGTTCGTCACATTTATGGAAGTATTTATATTATTGTGTGACACTTCATCACGCGCTGTTATGTACTAATACATATATGTATTTATATATAAAATGTAGAGTCATTGCTGTCTTAAAAGTACACCTTTCGATAAATGTCAGTTTATCAATACTCAACCAGACCCTCTTTACATATTCAAATGTAAGTGTTGGGCGGCAGCGATAATTTGGCACTTCTGCAACTCCATCTTTTGTTCCTTCAACTTTAAAAGTCTCTTCTGTATTTCAAGCTCGTTTTGTCGCATCGCAATTTCTTCTTTATGCCTTTTTTCCCTGTTCTTCTCCGCAACTGCAAAATTTCTCGACATCTCGTCCAAAAATCTTTCGAAAAGAGCTGTCAGAGACCCCTTATCATCCAGCTCCTCCTTTTTGTTGTTTGTCACTGAGTTCGATGTTGGTGTCGCGAGAGGATCATCGCTGGTATTGTTTAGCTCCTCGGATATCGGTTTCGGTAGTATAAACGTGTATTTTGCGGAGCCACTACTTGGCGACGAAACTTCACTTTCTTCCAAATACTTGTGCCTTCTTATCTTATTAAAAATTTCATCCAACGCTCTTCTATGTTCCCAGGGTCCAAAGTGGCTCATTCTGCCTGGTTTTTTCAGTCGTTCCCGAAAGACAAGGTTCTTGTATTTACGTTCAAGAACTCGCCATTTGTTCTCGCATTTCTGTGGGCTGAAGTAAAATCCGTAGTTTCGCATTTCAAGTGAGATCATCTCAAACATTTCCCGCAGGCTTCTGATCTGTGTAGATTTCCCTACCATTGATCGATACTTTTTGTATTGGCTGATGAGACACGTAGTTGCTTTGCTGGTCCACATTCTCAGAGCGCCGACGTCTGCGCTCGATAGTATCGCTCCATTATTTTCGAAGCCGGGAAAACCGTTTTTGTGTTCCTCCTCGACGTAACACTGTAGCGTCGGTTCCAGCTTGATTTCCATTTGTGCATCGACCTTTTCCCCTTTCAAGAATACATTTACAAGTCAGAGTGGTTTTAAACTTGTCCCGAATCGACCGAGAGTAACGACCGCAAAAAATTAATGAAACGGATATCGAACTGAAATATCGTACGTCACAGCTTCTTTTTCTTCTTTCGCATGGTCTTGGACAGTGTGGAATAATCGAAGCGTAATGAGTTTAGAAAAACGGGTCACGGTGTTCGATTTTCCCGCGCAAAACAATTCCAAGTATGTATGTATATATTTATTTACATGTACAAACGCTTATAACATATCTACTCTTGTGCAAACTTCGGATCGATGGTGATTCGAGCTCCGACATTCAAAGTGTTGAAGTGCTCAAGTAGAACGCAACGTGATAGTACAATGTGAACACGTTTCAGAACAGTTTTTCTTACCTTTCTGCTCTGTAATATCGGCCATATTAGCGTGCCCTCGTAACGTAACCTCCGTTCCAATCTCCGAGAGAAGTCCGGTACGAGTGCCAATCTCGGTCGTGGCACGGTCTCGCAGGAGGCCGAAAAACCAATGGAAACTAGTTCCAAACCGGTTTCATCCTGGAACTGGTTCCGTACGCGTCGAGAACTGGCGGCCATATTAACTCGTACGTCTCACAGCCTCATGGACGCCAAATATACGTTAAGCCAGGTCCACACTTAACAAGTGTTGGGGACAAAAACAGATATGTATAAATGAACATACATCTAGACACCACTGTGAATACATACACCAATGAGCATGTTGAACACGATCCATCGCGTGCCGGTACATATATGTACGTAATACGATAAAGTATTAGGTCCAGTTTGTCCATCTACATATCTGTAGAACATTAGGACGCGACAATTAAACGAGCCCAAGAGAAACAGTATATATGTGCCTATATTTGTATATTTTCTCTACGTATCCGTGGTCTCTAATGATTACGTTAATAAAATTGTACGGTTCGTCAACATTGTACTCGCATAACAATTAATCGAGTCCTGACTGCGCATCGAACTATGATTTATGTTAATATTGAGGATAAAGAACCGTTGCGCAACTGACACACCACATTGAGGCAATTTAGAAGCAAATATTATACAAAGGAAAAAATGATTAAAGCAGCATTCCAGATTTGTTGATAACACAAGTGTATTGCATTATGTACTTGTTAGATCATGCTAAACAGTTGCATAAGTTGCGTGCGTTCCATGTAACGATTCGCAGGCATTTCTACGATTCGATGACCCTTACTATGCTTCGTAAATTTTTCAACTTATTAGAGGCGTTTGCAATCTGCAGCTACTTCCTTTACTTTCGCATTGTATGATACATTTCGTGTCATAATTCATAAGTAATTTGAGTTTCCCATATAATTAAGATGTACGCGTATGTGTATACGTATATAATGTCTGTTTACGGAATCGTGAGCGTGAATACAATTTAGTACCATCGAAGTCACGGAGACTTATAATTGTATAGCACATGTACATCAGTTCTTTCATCGCATTTGACGGTAATTATCAACGGTCGTAGATCGTTCAGTGATACCAAGCGCTCCAGTCGATACAATACGTATGTAATAGAGCGATCCAGCATCGATGGTAATGTTACGCGATCTGGAAAAGGCATTGATCTCAATACAGACTCTACTCGATGATTTACTTTCCCTTCGAGAAGACTGGAAAGGCGCAATGTTTAAAGTTACACTCGAATCGAACGATCTTTCGCAATTACTTGTATCGTCGTCAGCAATTAATAAGTGATTACCACGATTAGTACGATTAATCAGTTCGATTAACTTTGCACTTTATAAGTTTTTTTTTACAGTCGCTGTGATATTATCCCTGGCACCGGAAGCAAACTACATATGTATATGTACAACCTATGGTCCGCTGTGTAATGAAATAATAACACTCGCACACCAATGTCACGTAAAACACGCAATGAACTAATATTCCAAACGGGACTCGATCGTCACGGACCACGAGAAAACGGTCCAAGTGCTCGGGATTTCACATTTTGGGTCATTGTTCGTTACCATTCTCAGATCCGTCCTGTTTTTCTCGTATGTACTCGTTATTATCGTCCGCCGGATGCACTTCCCCTTCGTTTAAAACACGGTCGACACGTGTTATATTTTGTTTGCCGAGTCCGCTCAGCGATGGAGGGTACAAGAACGCGGTATGTACATAATTCTGGTTGCTTCGGTGAACGATCAGAATATTTTCCTAGAAAACAATTGTTCAATTTTAATAGTTTCTCGCGTTGCCGTTGTTTTTAATGGAATTACAACGCCAAACATTAGTTAGCATTCACAAAGTGGTAATATGAAATACTATGTAGATAGAATGTTTTCCGTTGATTCGACCTATACCCTTCTCTTCGTTTTATATTTCCCGCCCTCGAGGGATCGAATCTGTAATCGCGATATACCCCCAAAACCCCAAGCGAGGGATTTCGATACTGACTAGTCCAGGTGGCATTCGATAGGAGACGTTCGGTCGGAAGAATGACGTCAGGGTGGTGGATGGCGAGCATTCGTAAAGGAAAAGGCTACGGCTAGGAGGTCTGGAAGAAGAAAGGGCTGTTGGAGGGAAAAGAAAGGAAGAGAAGAGAAGAGAAGAGAAGAGAGGAGAGACCGCGATGGGTTCTGGCATGCGTGCAACGTGAGGGGGCTGGTGCATAGAAGCCAAGCCGAGCCGAGTCGAACCGAGCTGTACCGGGAGGGAGAGAGGCGATATCTTGGTCGAACAGACAGGCGGGCAGGCTGGCTGGCAGGCAGGGGCAGGAGCGGAGTGCGAGTGAACGAGCGAGGACGGCCGTCCGCTCGCCTTTCGTCGGCGTTTCGTGTGGGTGCGTGGCGAGTGCGTGCTCACGGGTAGGTACTTTCGATTTCCAGCGATTGGCGAGCCTTTCCTTCGCCGGCCACGACGCTGCACCAGGAAGCGGACACGATAGTTAACCATGGAGTGAAATAGTACGTACACCGTACGGCCGAGAGTTACTGTGTTCAGTCCTGTCAGTTCTGTGCGCGGTGTGCATGTGCGGTGAATGCGTGTACACACGTTCCTCGCGGAACAGGTGCCTTTCTCGATTCCGTTCGATTATTCTTCTCGTTCCACTTGTCTCCAGTCCCGAAGCCTATATCGATCCGCTGACCAACGACCGATCTCCCCATCACGTTACGAATCTCTATAACGATAGTTGAACGAACAGACAGACATTCTGGTAGATCCACCAGCAGAAAGAATGAAATAAACGTGTCCTCTTCTGTCAAGATTACCGATCGGTTGGCAGCTGTTCGTATCCGCGGTCACGGGAAAAATTCTCGTGCTCTCGCGCAATGGAAACCGTCCGTTGTATCTGAAAAGAAAGACCAAGGACCAGTATCGACGGAGTCAGAGCGACAGAACGAGCGAGAGGGGGAGCGTTTGTTACTTGTGGAGAATCAGCCGCGCGTTTGCGAACGCGCCCATCGCGCGTCCAATATGGCTACCGCCAGCAACGCGACGACTAGCGCCGGTGAATCGGGCGGCAACAATGCTGTGCCACAGTGGAAAAGAGATTTGATTCAACGGCGTCGGCAACAAAGTAAAGTTTTCGCGAACAACGGGGCCAGCGTGAAATTATACTCGGCGGTGACCGGTTCGTCTGCGGCGACGGAGTCCATTGATCCGTCCTTCGGTCAAGAGCAGTGCACTGCCGGCAACGTATCGTTAAGATCGCGCACGATCGTCGGAGATGAGAACGCTGTCAACAACAGTGTCGCCGCGAATAACCCGTCTGCTAACGTTAGTAGTGGTGGTGGTATAGCTAGTGGTGGTGGTGGTAGTGGTAGTGGTAGTGGTAATGGTGGAAGCGCCATAGCCGGTGTCGTTGTATCGTCTTTTCCGTTTCTCTCTAGAGGAGCAGGCAGCGGCGCCACCGTCGCCAGCGGAACGATCGCCGCCAACAATCAAGCTCCGGCAGTCGCGTGCAACATGCGTCTCGAGGCGGATCTGTCGCTCTGCTCCGATTCGGAGGATGTCGCCGCGAACGGTACACTGAACAAGTCGTTAACGGATACGGAACGGAAATCGGAACACGGTGACGGCTCCGAGAACGAGGATTCGAAGAGAACTACGGAACAAACGTTGAACACCAGTTGCGAGGAGCATCGGATTGGATCCATCTGTAGGACCACCAACAACAACAACAGCAAACCAGAGAGGGACGTTCTTGCGGAGTTGTCACGAACCAAAGCGGAAATGGCGAGGAACAGAGCAGTGAACGACGACGGAGAAAGCGACAGCTCGGAGGAACTCCAGTATGGACCGGGGATCGTGAACAGATTAAAGAGCAAGTACCTTAACCTCACTCTCAGAGAAATGAATAAAAGTCGCGTGACGGTGCAGCGTTTCCGGCGCGCTGCCAGTCTCGAGGACCTACTCGACTGCGACGACGAGCCCAGCGAAAAAAGCGTGAGAAAGTACACGAAAAGAACGACCACCGGTGCCAATGCGAAAATGGACAGATACAGGAACGCGTCGCGAGGAAACGAATCGATGAAACGAGCGAGAAGCGTGGAAACTCTGATGAGGTACAATGGGACCGAGGATACGAGCAATGGCCACGGGCGCGTAACGACCAACGGTTTGAAACAGGAACCGGTAAACGATCACATTATTCTGATAGACCGAACGTCGGTGAAGATTGAATGTCGGCTGAGCGAGCTGGACAGGCCGAAACCCGTGAACAAGCCGAAGAGGATTAAACCGTTGCTGGCGGAAACCGAGAGACCACCGCCAGATCTAGTCAAGACCACCATGAGGATCTTCGAGGGATCGGCGAAGAAGCTGAGACCAAAAGGCGAAGTTGCCGCAAAGGTGGCCACCTTCAAAACCATCAACGATACCTTCAAGACACAAACGCAAAAGAAGGTCGTGTCGAAACCGCCGGTTCAACCTAAACCTTTCGTTAATGGTAATTCCAGACCGATCCCCGGGTCACCAAAGAAGATCGTTTTGCCTCAGAAGCCTACCGCCGAGCTGATCGAGACCCAGGAAGGCCAAACGGAGTATCACATAGACGGGGTGATCACGGACCCCATCGTACAATCCGTGTCCTCGGTGGTCAGCAAGTTCCAACAGATTGAAAAGTCGCACTCTCCGTCACCATCGCCCGAGCCATCCTTCAAGCTGAAGTTTTCTCCGGCGGCCAGCCCGGAACCTCAACAGAGCAAATTGAAATCATCCCTAGAGATCAGCGTGAAATCTCCGCCTGTGACCCCCATTTTATCTCCGAGGGTTTTATCGCCAAGACTACAAAGTCCGTCCTCTCCAATGAAGGATACGTTGAGGCAATGTTTACCACGCGTGCACAGTCCACCATCCCCGATAAAGGATTCACCGAAACAGAATTCCAGTCCTGTTCACAAGTCCCCGCCGAGTCCCAGCAGGGAGTTGCTCAGACAAGTGTCCGCGTCGGAATCCGTGAAGGTCCCGCGACCGCAGACGGAGGAAATGTTGGTGAACAACAGCGCGGAACACCCGAGGCAACAGATTCCGGAGAGAATACAGAGTCCCACGGACAAAGAAGAAAAACCAGAGGAGCCCAAGTTATCGATCGAAGACACGGTGCCCAGCGACGAGGATGCCGTGGAAGAGGTCGACGCGCCAAAGACCATTTCGAAAACAGCGCTGGAGAACATCGCACGAACCGGTGTAACGATGCAGTTTAACTTCAATGATAAATCGAGCACGAATAAGAGTTACCTACCGGGATACAAACAAAATGGGCAGAATTCTGCGGACGAGCAGGCCGATGATCGAAACGAGAAGTCGTCGGAATCCAGGAGCAAGACGTTTTTATCCGAGAACGTTTCCGTGCACGCTGCAACGGACCAGGAGGTGGCCTCTAGGCTGCTGGAGAGGCTAGAACCGGATAGGTGCGATAGAAAGATCGAGGACAATAAGGAGGACGTCGCCGACCCAAAGGGAAATGTCGATAGCAAGCCGATCGGAGCTATCTGTAGCCTTGGTCTGATCAAAACCACCACTACCACTTCCTATCCTCAAGGCAGCGAGGCGAAAACGATAAGATGCCAAAAGACAACCGAGTCACCACCTCAGAAGCAAATTGGAATTATCAGACCTCTGGTATCCACCAAGACGCAGCATCCGCAACAGAGCCTGAGCAACCGAGAACTGGAGAAGAATCTGATCAATCGAGTGAAGAGCATAGAGCAACCGACCAAGGTTGTGGTCAGCTTAAAGAGCGCCGACGAGATTCAACCCGCGAAAAAGTCTGGATCTGGGAGCGGCGGACTATGGGAATCGAAGCCTTGGAATCAGCAGAACAACACCATGGTGTTCAATTTCAGTAACCGGAAGGACGTGCCCGATTATATAGAAAACGACGGACTCATCATTAAGAGGAAGCGAGAGAAACCGAAGGTGAGTCATCAATAATTTCTAATCCCAGTCGTTTTCGATCTTATCGCACCGAGGTTGTTTATTGGTTCTGATACTGCGGATCTTCAGTACATACCGAAACATTGAAGCACATTATTTCGATTATTCTTTCGAACAAGCTGATTCGCGAGGAACCGTTACTTTGTTCGCAATGATCAAACGTTCGTAATCATTGAGACGAGCATTATGTTCTCGATTATAGAATACAACAGACGTCAGTCTAATTTTTGAACGCTTCTTCACCTAGGTAATTCCTCGAAAGTATAATTTGAAAGTTCATCGATTGCGTAAGACCGTTTGAAATAGAATTTCGAAAATTGAAATCCTTCGGTCCGCAAGAAGTCGCACCGTTAGATCGGTCGTTTGCCAAGGGAACTGGAGACTTAACAGTCCATGATTTGATCGCAAGAAGCTTGCGAATCGATACGGTTCAATAGGATCCTGGTACGGCGGAACTTTCTTTTCGTACGTATACATAATTCAAGCACATTTCACTTTCTTTAATATCGACTCGATCAAAATCGTCGCCCGTCGAACTGTACGTGATCGTACGCACAGACACGCTCAGAATTTATAGCGACGTAACGTCCTCGTATTCCAAGCACGCGGTCGCACTCATCCAATGTGATGCACGATATTTGTTTGTTTTCCATTCCATCGTTAAGCGGACTGTTACGTTTAAACAGTCGTGGGCTTGTTCGAGCAGCTGATGATCGGTCTCATTGTCAGCTGAAAAAATTCAAGGAAAAATCGAACGCGTGTTTGGTCTGGTGTTTCATAGAAAATCTTGGGAAATCGGGATTGTGATCGGTAAATTGAATGCACCGAGATGCACTTTCTCGCATTAGATAACCCGGAACTCGGATCGTCCAGTCGAATACAGATTACTCCGCTATCACAATTACACCATGGTCCCCCGTTATTTGCCAACCATTGCCCAGTACATATAACGATCTCTCGGAATTTCCCGGCACGGAATCATCGATCGCGCTCGTTCACGAAATCGACTCTGCCTCATCTAATGGCACTAACGAGGCTCCTTCGAATCGGCCGCCGGAAAAAAAGAAGAATAGCCTGGTGGACTCGATAAAAGACGACCGTTTAACGAACCGGAAACTAGAGCATGCTTCAAGACCGCGCGCGTAATTCTAGTTGAACCGTATGAAACAGGAACAATGCTCGATAGCGTTCTCCTCTTTTTTGTATGTATGTACGCATGTACACCATCGACTTCGAATAGAACTGTTCTCCTGTGACGTCTTTGTATAATACAAACTCGTTCGATCGATCAACGAGAAAAGACTAGCTGTCCTTGGGTCGAACGAAAGGCCTTGCTCGCATACTTCTGCATACTATAGTGTTACGAGATTGAAGCAACGAAATACTCGCCAGAGCTTTGGTAACACTCTATACAGGATCGGTAAAACCGGCTGGTAAGACCTTTGTAATCTTAACGATTAGGATCTAGTTTTTTGCATTCTCGGTGAAATGTTACGACTACTGTTTCAAATCCGGAAGAACTATACATTTAAGAAGCCCCTGCTGGTCCCGAAAACAATCGAGTCAGTCCAAGGTCGAAACCATCGATGAAATTATCCGGTTTAACACCTACGTCCAGAGTTACGAGCGTTCACGAGGTCATTTTTCCCGCTGCACGATACTTATGTATACGGTTACACGTGGACGTTTACCTTTCCGAGGCACTCCAAGAAAGATAAAATTTCGCGGATCATGCGTAATTCGATTGATGACATGTCGCGTGTATCGTATTGCTTGTCTGGTAACATTAGGCTGGCGTGTAAGTAGAGGACCGCGATGCAGGCTGCACTCCAGGCCAAGTCAGAGCACGCGGTTCCCGACTGCATCCCCGCCTTTACGCTTCTAATTAAACGGATATTAACTGGCCTTAGATCACGCGATAACGAAATTACATAGGCATATACGTTCCCAGCTCACTGGGTATCCGATTGCGAAATTAAATGGACGGTAGTGGATGAGGATAATCGATTAAACGTTGGCTCGTTTTCGCGTCTTACGCGGCTCGGCGTACGAGCGTTCAGGGGAACAAAAAAAAAATGACCGGCCCGGTAGTAGAGATGCATATGGATTACTCGAGACGCGATAATATCAGCCGTAACCGTCCGTCGCGTTAATTAACCTTCGACGACCTCGTAATAATTACGCAATCTCGAGCGTTGCACCCGTCCGCGGCGCGCTGAACGCGTTTCGATGCGCGCGATTATAGCGAGCTTTGCAATTCGAACGTCATACTTGGGTCTAATTAATCTACGAAAATATTCGGTCAGACGTACGGACTGGTCCGCGGTGGAACGAGGTAAAAGGTTCCCTTCACCGAGCGAAGCGCTCACGGAATTAGGTCGTGGAACGATTCTCTATTCGGACGACCGTCTTCTCCTCTTCTGTCTAGCAGCTTTTTTTTACTCTGTGACGCTGGAAGAAGCGGAGAAAACGCGGGGAATACTTTTGTCGTTCAGGTGAGTCGACTGTGACTGATCGAAGCGTAAGCGTTTGAGACTGTGTGATATGTAGGTATGTGTGTGCGTGTATGTATGTACATAGTCGGTCACATATGTCATCGATGCTTACGCTTTTCTTTCATCATCTGTATTGTTGTAAACAAGAAGGTACATATGGATGTGTGAGTACTGGAAGCAAAACTTTAGGTTGGACGATGCTTTAGGAGAGGAAAAACGGGAAACGAAATAGAATTCCTGAGGCTTCCCTTATGGAATTCCTGGAGGTAGCCGACTGAAACGTTGCACGTTTCGTAATGCAGCCGGAAAGAAATTAATTGCGGAGCCGAGCGTTAGCTGCGATCCATATCGCGTCGACCGAAAGCATTGGTATATGTAATGTAATATGTGGTCCTGACGCATTCGTGACGAACACGCCGAATAAGTCGAGGCAATCCTGGCGATTAGAACGTCTATGAATATCAGAGCTGATCGTTCTTCTTCGCTTCTGTTTCGGTTTATGTTTCTGTGTGGATTAATGGTGATAAAACCATTGGGTAAAAAAACGAAGTTGACGTTCAAATGGCCTTCAAAACATTCACCAGATTAAAAATAAATAATGTTATTCTCTTTCCCCTCAAAACCAAACAAACTTTTGTCTAAAATACTTTCTTATGAAATGCTTTTTGTTAACTTGTCTGTATAATTGGCCGAAGATTCTCCGCAAAAAATTTGTACCGACACCGCGAAGAGCTCGTTTGCTTCGCTTTAATTATTGTGAACGCAGCACTCTTTCGATATTTTCGATCTGTCGCCGCGAAGGCACAATTATCAGGTATAACTCGTTGCGTCCACGCAAACGCGCAAATACCAGAAGCGGCGTTGCCAGGGCTTCTAATGGTTATGCATTATTACATAAGCATTAAATGCATTTCTTCGCTTTCCGTATTATTACCTATTATCACGGATTCACTCCGCAATGAATGCCCGAGCCGTTGATGTAACGTCGGGCGCGGCGTAACTGGCAGAAAGGAAAACTGGCCGGCTCGTCTCGAAACGCGTAACGCTGCGCCTTTCCTATCTTTCTCTTCGAAGCATCTCGGTTTTCTTTACCACGTCCAGCACCCTGGTTTTCGCAATTCGATTTAAAATGTGGCACTCGCTCGATGAAAAATCTTCCGTTTAGTGGATTCAAATCGGTTTCGTCGATCGAGCTGGTCGAGCCAGTTCCAAGTATTCTATCTCTAATCTTACTATCTGTTGCTCACGATAGGACGGCTAACAACGGTATCAATGGAATACCAATGAATCGAAGTGACAAAAATAAAACTCGAATTTATCAGCCAAAATCGCTTGAACGGAATCGTAGTGTATGTATGAATTGACCAATTCATTTACGGTCGCATACCAAATATCGTATTGACGATCGTAGAAGAATCAACATGTAACTAGCTCTATCCCCATGCAAACACGCGTTCTTCAGTCGCTGGGAAGCCTAAGAACTAGTTTAGGGTACACCTCGGTGAATCAGACAGCTGTTTATCGATTGGTAATTAAGGACAAACAAGACAACGCACCGATATTGGATATCGCCGATGCGTCACTGTCTCATCGCCTTTTATCGACGCTATTTCTGTGTGTGTGCGTGTGTGTGCAAGAGTTTTTTTTTTCTTTTTTTTTTGAGGGGAATACATAAGACTTTGATAACGACGGTTCGATGGATCAAATCGAAGAGGGATTGCTAGAGGTTTCGATGATATTATCTCGCGATCGCGAGTAGAGAAAGGGAGCGAGCGCTGCTGTGCATCGCTCGAAGAACCTCTGTTCTCTCGTTTCGTTAGCAGGTTTACCGTATTACAAGTAGATACATACGGCAGGTAATCGAGTTTACGCCTCGACAAGGTATCCTTGACCTTCTTTCCCCGATAACTATTACCGCAATTCGTTCTGTTCGTAATGTACAATATACAACCGTTTCTGCAATCTTCCTCGCGCCTTTCTTCGGGTTCGAGCTGACTCGTACGTTACAAGATTTGCTTTTCGTTTCAGCCGTGGTATCGGCTGTAAACAAATACAGGAATCTTATCTTCCGTACGAATCATCGACTATCGCGACGTTAAATCCATGCGAAAAGAACCTCGACTTTCAAATTCAATGGTACTCACGGCAACCGCGCCTCGATGAAGATGTTTAGTCGCACGGAAGAGAGAAAAAGGAATTCGCAATCCCTCTCGATTGGCTGCCGGTCACGGGAGGTTGCCCGCAGCTCCTCGAGGAATTGCCAGGCAAAGGTTCAGATAGCCGATCAGCCGCGTAAGAAATGGCATTCGCGTATCGTGGCCGGTGACATTCCACGAGACGCCATGGGAATTCTCGTATATGGCCGTCCTAGAGCGCTGCGACTCTACGAGAGACGAGAGAAGCTACGAAGGCCCGTTATCGTGTTTCAGACTATGTAGCTCCTTGCTTCGGCCTTCTAAGGAACATTGCGCTCCCGACTATCGTGGCGCAACTTGAATCAACCGCTATGATTTTTGGTATGTAGGCCGAGCGAGCGACAATACTTGCGTGGTGTACCTGTAGCCACGTCTCTTCCCTTCGTGGAGACACGATCTTCGGCCAAGAAACGATCGCTTATCGGTGATATCTGGATACTAAACCATTTAACGGCGCCGTAATTTTTTCAGTGACCTTTCGGGCTAGCTAACGTTCACTCGAACTGGAATCTCTCACGTTCACTTGGTATCGATTTAGTGCAATTTTCGGAGTTCTCATGGTAGGCTGTTAATAAATTCTGAAGCAAGTTCCTCTGATGACTTCTGCGTGGAATGAGATGGAGACCCTATTTCGTGCCGCGAGTTCACGTGAAACTCGTGGTTTCATCCTCTCTCCTTCGGTGAAATTCAGAACGCGTGACCTCGTTTGACCTTGACCGGCTCCGGTACCAGCGAGGAGGAAACTGGATTGGCGACGCGAACAGCTGGTCGCAGGTCGAATTTGCATTTGCATACAGTGATCGAGCGGTTGTGTTGCGCTATCCTGGATATCGTTTCGTCCTTTCTCGGTTACGTAATGGATCCAGTTTTCGGATGAGACACGTGGCTCTTTTTTTTTTTTTTAAATTCGTACTGTTGCTTTCTAAATCTTTCACTCCTCGACGAGCATTTGGCGCGCTTTGGATAGTGCGCGAAAGAAGCTGGAATCGTTAAAACGATCGAGTAATCGATCGTCTCCTCGATCGTTTCTTTATGCAGACACGTTCGTCATGAAAATAGTAACCGATATTAATGGAACGCGTAAACAACCTTCCGAGTCAAGATTGATTTTGACACCGTATGAATCATTCCTGACTGCGTTGGTTCTAATTTAGAAACGCGACGTCGCGAAACAGCAATTCGTATTGCCCTCGCAAAAAGTCGTCGACGAAACGGCGGCTGCAATTTTTCGTCGGTTCGCGAAACGCGTAACCGTGTCTGATTCATACGATTTAGTGCTGTCGCCGACTCAACGTGGTCGCGTTAACGATATCCAAGCCCAGCCAGCGAATAAACTTGTCAAGTTCGTGAACAAAACGGGGGGCGTGGGTGCCAGGGTAATTTTGCCGTCTGCATCCTACGAGACGATGGCTCGAATCGACGAGACAGCCACGGAGGGAAAACATTGTACATATATGTAGACAAAGTGGAACAAAAGGGAGAGAAAGTCCTGCTTCGAGAAACTAGCATCGAAGATAAAATCAGTTTCGAGGTTGTGCCTATCGTTATCTGAAACCGTTCCAAACTTGTTCACAATTTTTACCGAGATCTCTCCCGAAGAAGATGACTTCTTTAGCGCTGATAATCTCGTTCCGGTTCTAATTGGAACGCGCCTACGCTTGCAATCAAGGCTGTTGGATCTCGGCGAAAAATTAGGCGACGGCGGATGTCGTGAAATGTGCATCCTGCCGCATCCGGTCTCACGTGTCATCGCGTATGACGACAGATCGATAAGAACGACCAGTTTCCCGCACGCGTGTGTCGCAGTTTCGCGGTCATGATTTACTGTTTGTCAGTTCGCGACGGGAAGCAGTGGTACACTTGGGATGATAACGTATCACGGTTTGAATCGCGCAACTTTTAGCAGTGAATTTCACGAGTCTAGCAATATTCTATGTATTACCTCTGGAACGTGTCTATACATATACGTATAAGCGCTTCCCGCCTTCTTCGAATCGATGCACACGCGGTCTGAGTATCTATATGCATGTATATGTACATATTTACATACCTACCTACCGTGAGTATACCACAAGGGACAAACAAATGCGGGCTCACCTTTGCAGCCGCAGGTGTATCCGCGTGGAGTACACTCGCGTGCAATCGTTAGGCGACTGTCGTGGACTCTTGGAGGGTTCAAGGTCCAACCTGTAGGAGTGATACCTCGGTGCGCTTGGAATAATGGAAACAGACATCCTGGGAATTTCTCATGAAGTCAGGGACCTTGTTCTTGGGTTCATTGCCGCCGGTATCGTTCTCCCTTAAATCCCTTACATCCCTTAAATTTACGCTGTTAACCCTAACCACGAAAACGTTTCGTGGCCGATCGATTTCTAATTCTTGAATCCATGATGGGTACTGTGGAAAGAAACATGTCGAGCCGTAAATCACTCGTTTCACGCGGTGATCTCGAAACATCGTAGATAGTAGAGTTGATTCGAAATTATCCGGGTTAATTCCGCTGGCTGGTTCGGCGTTACGAGGGATTACACGGTAAACGATGGGCGAGCAATTTTTCTCACGACGCGTTATCTCGTGGAATCGCTTGCATAATGCAGCCGATGCGACATAACAAAGAGAAGATACTAACTGGCGCAGGGAGAGGACCGGAAATATTGAATTACTTTCTTCTCACGGCGCCACCGATAAGTACATACATACCTACTTACTCGTTACCGTCTCGACGATAAATGGTCCTGCTCCTGTTCCATCGAGAACCGACTAAAATATGTACATACAGACTCTTCTCGATTATCGTCCCGAATTTGCGCCGAGACAATAATCATATAGGGAGAAATGCTTCAGCGGAGATTAATTTGGCATAAATTTCAGTAATTCCAAATACCAACAGATAAGATTATGGTAGGAGGCCCTTATTCTACGCCACTTTTTCCCCTAGAGGAAGCCGAGTTTGCTCGTCGGTGTACATACATGCATACATACATACATAATTTACTTATAATACTACATATTCACAGATAGTCGCAACAACTTTTCGATCAGCAATTGTTGGAATAAAATCGTTTCCGCGGCTTTATCCGCGTCGCGTTGGAATCACCGATTCACTCGGCCGACAAGTGCTGGCTGTCTTCCATCACCATCCATCCGGTGATCGATAATCCGTACGGTTCGCGATCGATATCTTTTCGTCCCGGTGCATCCGTGGCACGTTACATTCAAATCGAGATGTATTGCGTTACACGGCCCCGATCTCTGCTCGTCCGTAATGCGGCTTCTTCGCGTTATGATCCGTGACCGCATTTTTTCCATAGATCGCCGTTCAACCCGAATTCCCGCGGCAACCGGAGAGTGACAGAAACGCTGGCCGAAGGAAATTACCTCGAATAATAAAAATCACTTTCGAAAAATCTCACGACGCCGGAAGTGGACCGGAAATTTATCCCCGAGGCGACCGTTCGATATCACGCGCGATCGCCATTCGCCGAACGAGTTCGCGAGCACAGCCGGGAGAAATTCATCGGAGATCGAATCGATTAAAATAGTAGTTTCCTTTCTTGAAACTACAGAAAACCATTTGATTTTACCGAGCACGATATTCCCGAATCTACACGAGTTTCGACAAATTAAATACGGGAGAGTTGCCTATTTTGGACCACTTTTTTATTTTGATCTCTTACACAAGCATAGAACATCGCAGGATAAAAAGAGAAACGAAAAAAAATAAGCATTATACGTAGATTGTATGGTGTATTGGTCGTATTGAAAAAATGTGTGATAACAGAATATCTTCAAAAAACTAAACTAATGACTAGGAGCCGGTCCAATATAGGCAACTCTCTCCTACATATGTATGTATGTAATGTATCACTGAACTTCAGTGCTCTCCCTCACTTACATATGTTAGCTCCAAATACGCATCGGTCAGGAAATTCGAACAAAGTCGAAGGACAGTCGGGGTGCGTGTCGAAGACGCGTCCCTGTCGGTTTCCATCGGGCTCCGTTTCCAAATCGACAGGATGTCCATTCACGAAATAATAAAAGACGGCGCGGCACTGAAAGTCTCACCGCCACTTATCTTCTTGGATCGTTCCTGATCTTTTTCGAGTCCTGATAATTGTCGTCGTTCTCGGTTTCGCGAGATCGAGGTTATTTCACGTGAATGTGGAGTGCTGCGCGACTCACGTGGAAGCGTTTCACATGCCAAGAGCATCGAGTCTTCTTATAATTACAACGTGTAAACGTTGGGTTGCAAGTGGAAGAGGTATTGCGTGAACGAAAGCTTGCTCGTTTGTACGAAAATCGATACGTATTGGTAACGAATGAATATTTAAATAAAGAACTCGGAGAACCAATAATATGTAAGATTATTAAATTAAATTAAATTAAATTAAATTAAATATGTAAGTTAGTACTTATGTATAATCGAAGAGGGGAGGAATGCGCGGTCACGCGTTTCCATGGAACTCGGTCGACGAGACTCGAAAGTCACCCCGCCGGATTCCACGCATAACGTTCCGATTTCGAGAGCTCAACGTTCTTTTTTTTTTTGGTTGTCCCGCAGGTCGGTGACGGCGGCATCATAGTATTGGATGCCACATTGGACGCGTCGACGACCGACGACGCCGAGTGGGAGCTTACCGGTGGTCCACCCTCGCCGTGCGACGTGTCGTTCTTCAACGACAACGTTCTCATCAATGGACGCAGCAACCTTTCGAGGACACCGCGAAATCATAAGGTGAGCGCAATAAATCTCCCCCATACTGCGGTACGTTCGTCCGTCTCGTGATTTTGCGAGTGAAGTTTCATCGCGAACGTTTCGTCGGGCGCCAATTGAAAGTTAAAGGAATATTTACTCGAGAAAGCGAGCAAAATCACTGTGTTTATGCTGCACCTGCGAATAACGTAGAATCAAACGTTATCTAATTTGTGATAAAACAAATGAGCTTTAGAAAGGCCGTAGAAGCTTTTTATATGTACATTGTTATCGGGGCGAAGTATTTACGTTAATAGATGTGGCGCGTTTATCAAAGCTTTCCATTATTTTTTTCGTGAAAAAAATCGGTCCGCATCTCGCGCTGGTGAGCCATGCTATCTAATCTAATCGGATGCACTTCCATCCACGGACTCGCGCCGCGGGAGCTCGTTTAAGTCGCAAAGCGAGCGACGTAATATGTTGTAAGTTGTAAGTACCGTAACCAAGGCCCTTCGTGCCTCGTGGGAATGCACTTTCCCTCCTCAAAGAGATTGTAAAATATTCAAGGGCGGCTGGCCGACCAGCCGCGCAACGTCTTTCAGCCTTTTTCTCCCTTTGGTCGGTCCCCGTCGTTATTTCGACTCCTTTCACACCGAATTTTCGGTCCACTTTTTTGTCCTCGTCTGAATAGAACTGTCCAAGATGGAATTATCCCACGCACATGGTCTGTATTATGTATGTCGTCGTAGATGACGTTGGATTATGACACGAAAAACTCGGAGACTTTCCTTTTAACGTTAATGCTGATTCCACGCGTGAAACCTTATGTGCTCGGTACAACTATTGGTCGTTGCGATAAGATGTTTATCCGTAGGTACGTACGTACCTGTGTAGGTGAGCGCAAGTTATCTTTGCCTATATACAGTACAATTAAAACTTATAAAACTAAACAGAATATCGCAATCATGCTTCTGATTGATTCACGATACGATGATGCTCGTTACATTGTTACTAACCCCAGAACATTTTTTATTTGGGTAGATATCTTTAGAAAGGACGTACCTACAATAATTGTAATGGTAAAAATGCACTATTAACGAGTTTCGGTGGAACAGCGTATCCCCTAATACCCGCAAGCTAATTTTACGTATGTAGCTCGAAAGTGGATTAAACGATCTTCGTTCGAACTATAGATAAACGTTCTAAATAATTAATGTGCTATAACACCGTACAAGGCGCGTCATTAATTTTCACGACGCAACATCTCCCGCGTGCCGTTATTACAGATACAATACCTGTTGAACGGTCTCCAGGATCGATTCGTCCTGAAATCGTTAATCGAGCATGTTTCGCCGATCAAATATTACATTCCAAACACTCCTCGAGCCTCTCTTATTTCCAACGGACACAAGGACCAAGACAGGTTTCCTCTCCCAAAGTTTTTCTTCCCGACGACTAATTTATCACGAAATGTGGAACACGTGCTCCTCCCCGGAGCGAGGCTACCAAGTGTCTCTAATCGCCCTCGTTTAACAGATCGAAACGAGAGAGTTTCTCACGGGTCGGGGTTTACGGTTTCGGCCGATTCCCGTGACGACTGAACAACCAAGAACTGGCCCATTAGGAATACCGATGCCGATTTACAAAGTAAAAGTGCTCGAGCAGCGGCGAACGAATCAGCAACGATTTTCCAGCTGCTCGTCGGAGGAGTTAATCTAGCGTGGTTCATGGGAATGCGTCGGCGGAACGGCCGATTCCGTTCTACGCTCGTCTCCAGACGAAGAAGTCTTTCGCGAGAAAAACGCTGTACGCATCGGTTCCGGGTTCGACGGAAATTTTCACCGGTTTACACAAGACGCATCGCCGTTTCGAAAGGTCGCCGGTGAAACAACGAACGTCGTTCCTCGACAAATTAACGAGGTACATAATTGGGGATCGTGAAACGGAGGAGTTACCGGCGAAAAGCGAAGCGGATTGTTATGCAAACCAGCGACACGCATTGCGTGTTCGCTCATCGATGAAAGTCCGGTCGGCCGGCCGATCGTTGAGCAACCCGATTTCGCGGGCCATCGTCTATTGTTTGTTTGGATTTTCCATGAGCAATTAACGCGGCAAACCCTAACCTTTAATAACGTTACGCAACGAGAGATAGGTATGAAAAATCGAAACCGGTAGATGCTGGAATTTGCATATTCGAAAGTTCCTCGGCTTCTCGGTACGGGAGCGATTCCGGAGAAAACGGCGAGGGTAGGGCGCGGCGTCGCGAGGAATAGTTAAGAGCGGGGGCGAAACGTGTGTCGGCGGTTATTGTCCAGCGATCGATCTTCTTGGAGGCGACGTCGCACCGAGCCGCCTCGAAAAACCTGACCGATCCTCCGAATCGATTGTTCACCGATGCGTCGTATTTTCTTCGGATTTACTGCGGCGCTCGTCGACCGTATCGGATCGATAGAAACGCCAGCCATCGTCGGACGAGCTGTTACACATATATGACCTAGAATTCCTTCTGCTTGGACTCGAGTTATCGTCGGATAATCCTTGACTAGAAAACACGGCCGTTGTTGCTCGCTCGACGAGGCGCAGTCGAGGAATCGGCCGATCGTGGTCCTACTATGTAATTTCTCCATGCTCGATAGCCAGACCCTGGCCGAAGCTGTTCTCCGTTCCACAATGCGAAACATTCCAGCACCGAAACCGACGAAGGACGCGTGTCGTTGCGAGACCGAGAAGAGTTTCACAGTTAACTCGGCTTAAATGCCTTTACCTTAAACCAACTTAGCTGATCGAAAGCAAATTCTAAGCGAGGCCCGCCAGCCCATAAAAGTGTGTAAGTATCGGCGTAAAGATTATCTTCGGGACGCGAAAGTGCGCGTTTCCGCGCGTTCGAACCGCTTATCCGCGTGGAAATTTCTCGACCCGGGGCCGTTCAGTCGCGTCTACGTTATATTTGAATTTTATTGCACGCAGAGGAATGTCTAACGGTGAATAATTACGCGGTTGGGAACGGTTGTCTGTCGCTACGACGCGCGTTCCCGTACGAAAAATTGCTAAAATTACTTGTCGCCGCGTTTACTCGACGCGCTCGAGTTAAATGCTCGACGAAGCTTTTTACGAACGCGTTTCGGGAGACTCGTTATCGGTTCACGGTAGAGAGATTCGAACGAACGAAAACGGGACGAGCGCGTCAATACGGTCGAGAAATTTCTTTCCATGATTTTCCGATTCGTCGCGGCATGAAAACTGCGCGCGAACGATGCAACTTTCGAGCGCAGAAACATGTCCTACGCTCTCAAGGTTTCGTCGCATGGCGGTTGCTGACTTGAAAAACAAGGTGACGTTGAAATTTTTGAAATGCCTCCACCCACAAAAAAAGCACGTATCTTATAAGATGTGCCTCCAGATGCCATGTAAATTCTACGCCTCAAAATTTTCACAAAGTGTACCGTTAAGTCATTATCCGACGTAATTAAGTTACCTGAGACACCCTGTATACCTACGCACATCTATGTAGATACGTAATTCCTACTTTACGATCCACTTTGTCGCGCTCCGGTCTCGTATCGTTTCACCTCGCAAACAATCGGTTTTATCGTCGTCGATACCTGTCCCGTGCGCGAACTCATTGGACAATAAATCTCGCGTATCTGCCCCGGGTCTGTCGTATATCTCCCTAGGAAAATCCGAGAACAAAGGAAACGCTCGTGCGAAATTCACTGACCCTGTTCTTACTCGAATACTTGAGCGCGACAGAGATTTCTCTCCTGAAATCGAAGACGTGCGCGAACAATAACGCCACGGATAACTCGCGGGAACGGAATTCTCTCGTTCGCGTAATACGGGAATACCAACATACTAATAAAACTGTAGCAGGCGATTTGAACGCCCGACGAGGAATCACCCAATTGATCAGGCGAATCCTCGTATAGGACTATCTACCTACGTACGAGGTAGATACAGTTATACAGGGTGAACCACGACGTATACGTATATTATAAGTAGGTATGTACCTATATATGTAAGTACTTCCTGACGAGCGACCGTAACAATTCGATCCGAACGTTCTCTAAACATCCCTTAATGATCTTGTTAACGATCGTTAGGACCGTAATCGACACGACAATGTCCCATTGATTCCGTAGATTTACTTGCCAATAAAGTGTACAGAGTAGACAAGGTTCTCTGGCACATCGCCCATTATACGGTCATATCAACACGGAAACGATCTGGGCGGTAGATAGATCCGTAGGAGGCAAGTATCAGCTCTTTATTTACAGTTGAAGCACCAACGTTTCCGCAAGAGCTGGCAAATCCGCGCTCGCCGTCGCGCACGGTTCTCTAATAATAGCGATCTCGTGAAAGGTACATAACGAGAAGCGAACCGGTGTAAAGACATTACGGGAGATATTACGCGTAACATCTGATAACACGGACAATCGGGAACGCGACTCGGTCGTGCCTCAAGGTTGCGGTCTTTGAATTGTAAACCGAGCGACACCGATCGCCTAATCGTCTGACATCGATTTTCCGTTCGACATCGTGTCCACGAATTAAATTCAGTCAAATCAAAGTCGTTTCCCGATTGCGCCCCGACCGTATCGATCTTGCATCCGACGTTCCGTGAGACAAAACGACAAAAAAGAAATATTATTTTATCGATAACCAAATAATGTTATCGGAATGACAACAGAGTCGTCGCAGGTACCGTAAATTTCGCTCCCGTTGTGACGTTAATTCTGCTTTCGAAACAGTGCGTCTATGTATAAAGAGATAGCGAAGAGAGGAAGGTCGACTCGTCGAATAATTACGCAGGATTCGCAGAAGCGACGATAACGGGACGTGTCGCGACAACGGGCACAGCCTGATTGCATAATTAATTGGCTCGCGCGAAAAAACAGCGCTCGCGGTTTTCTTCTAAATATGTAATCGTTACGTTCGCGTGCGACGCGGCTCATTATTCGCTGAATTAGCGAGCACGAATTTCACGGGTCGGACTCGTCGCCGGATTTGTTGACAATCGCCAGAAATTCTGTAATCGACGACGTCTCGTCGCCTGTCCTTGGTCGGAAATGGGTCGAGAACTCGAAATTCTTGTTTATCGAACGATACCACGTGATCGCTCCGAACGAAATTTTCGGCCCGATCGGTATCCATCCAAGGTCGAATTAATTTAAAATTCCCGATTTTGTAAACCATCTCCGAAAGATCCTTTGCTTTCGTTACAGTGTAGGTTAGGTAATTTTGCTTGAAAAGGACTCCTAGGTTTGTTCTTGTTTCACGCCTCTATCGAGGTCCTCGACCCCACGTGCCGTCACCTCTCGCAATAATTGCAAAATCGCCCCATTCCCGGGGCAGAATTGCCCGACCCGGCCGGTCGGTAATTCTCTTTCTTGAATGTAACACGGTTGCAGCGTCCCGACGCGATTGCGGGAGGGGAAAAAATTCGAAAGTCAATTCTAATTCCTACGAGCGAAAACTGCTCCGCTCGTTTTCTCCTCTCGCGGAAGGTTCATCGTGAAGGAACGCGGCTGCTTGATAGACCAGGCAGAAAAAAAAAATGAATTTGAATTTCTAATTCCGCTTCGTTACGGAAAAATCAGCGAGTAATTGCGCCTGGGGGGACCGTTAGCCTCTTATCGAAAAGCGTACCGTACAGGGTGGTTAATTTATCCCAACTATTCTCCGTGTTTCCGCTTCTCGGAACCGAACACAATTTTTTTTTTACGGTACGATGATGTGTATTTTGAAATTTGATTGGGAGATCGTATTCGAAATACTCGGTCTTTCGCGTATGATTTACGGAAAGACGAGACACTTTCGGGTGGTCTGGTTGAATGGAACGTGCTGTATACTTATAAATCCTGTCCCCGTCCGCTTGTAAATATAGGTGGCAGATACATACACGCCGTCGTGTCGTGTTGTAGCAGCTTCTTTCGTTCAAAGAACGTGTCTGTTGTGCACCGTCATTGAATAGGTCGGTGCACGGCTCGTATGCAAATGCAGAAATATGTAAACAGGGCTGGACACGGGCAATTTGCTCTAACGCGTATTCGTAAGGTAACTGTATAATTCAATGGGATCCGTCCGATCGACAGCAAATAGCAGTGTAATCATCGAAAAGATCGCTCGATTTAATTGCTCGTTGTGGATAACGTAAATCGTCGTAAATCATACGGACGCGACGGTCGTGCGCGATGTACCAACCGGCTACTTCCTCATCCCTGATCGTTCGGATCGTCGTTGATGCCCATCGATTTCCATGACAAACGATTCAAGGCCACAGAGTTGAGCAATTCAGCGCGAACAACGAATGAACTGAAATTTTCTGCCGATACGGCGTTTGTTAAAATTGAATCGAAGAACGGTCGACTCGCCTCGACTGGCTATATCCACGCTGGTTCGCCTCCGAGGGCTTTAATCTTGTCAACGAGAAGAAGATTACGGGTTTTGCTGGACATAACGGATGCGTTCGTGTTTAGTTTTTACCACGAGGAACAAGCTTTACGCGTCCAATTTAACGCCGTCGCCATCACCATGGGGAGAGAGAACACCCGTTCAAGGGACCTGGTAGAACGGCGTCGCGACAATAAATTCTTCAACGGTTTTATATCGCCTACTGTACAGTTGTAACGACTCCCCAACATCGAGAAAAAGGTACATGTATAGGTACTACAAAAACATGTACTGCCATTGCGAGTCCTCGGCGTGTTTCAAAGCCCGCACGTAACCCCGGGTTCAAGCTCGTGTTGTGAAATTTTATGCTAACCATTCGGGAATTATTATCCATCTCGCGATATCGCCATTGCTTCGATGTGGCTGTCCGAGCGTAAGCAGCACGAACGTAAAGCCGCGTACTCACCAAACGAGTGAGCACGAGCGAACAGGAGCGATCGAGCATTCTTACTCGGTGCTTGTTTGGTGTGTACCGTTGAGCGAGCAGGAGCGTTCGCTGAATGATCCGACTCTTGTCGGTACATCAAAAGAAAGACTTGTTCGCGCTCGCCTGATGTAGACGGTTATTTGTTGCATTCGATTGCTCTTCCCGTAGAATATCTTTCCTATATAGTAAATCTCATTGCCTGAACGAGAAAGATTCGAGTCGCGCGACAGCAACGTTTACCAATAGCTAGTCGCTGGAATTTCGGAGCAAAACGGGGGACGCGCGACCGTATTCTATCCGCGTTACGAGTCGATGCACGTGGGCTGCAAAATATGACGCGAAAACACGTAAAACTTCCGTTTAGCCTCCTCTTTCTATTGTCCGGAATGATAAACTGTTTCCTTTCTCGCGGACCAGCGATAAGAGGCTCATTGTTTCGTCGGATCTAGCCGAAAGTAACGGCTGGATCGCGCCCAATGTCGACGTTACTCGCCGGCGAAGTTCGCTCGACGATCCTCGGACGAAGGTTAAAAAAATGTTCCGAAGCCGGTTCGAAGCAGGCTCCCGTCTCCAAGTGGAGAATTCCGGAGAGCCCGTGGCGCGAACAGACTCGCACGATGCGTGAGTCGACGCGTTTTTTATCGATCGTAAAAATGCAAAGCAGAACGAAACGACGACAACGACGAGGACGACGTTACCGAGATTCTCGCACGTGTCCCTTTTTCGATTTTTTTTTAACCAGACGAAAGGTACGAACGGGGATCCATGCACGGAATCTTTCGAATTGATTCTTCGGTTGATTATCGAGATTGATGACCGCATAAAAACGTAGCTGAAGTAGGAATACCCGTTGCCTCGGTTAACGGCGAAGCGTCAACGCGTTACGATCGGACGGCTAGTCGAAGCAACGACGCAAATTCATTCGGTAGATTTTTGCTCGTAAACAGTCATTAACGGGCACGTGCAAACTTAACGCGGAAACTACGCTGGCTTTGACATTCCAAGTTGATTTTACGGCCGCGAGAGTACACCCGTTACACAAAAGGTTTACTCTCCTTTGAGGGTATTCGTCCGGTTCGCCGGTTTCTTCCGGAAAATCAATATACCGTCGACCAATGAGAGAAAGCCTCGGTGGTTTCCATGCATCTCGGTTCGGGGAACGATTTGACACTCGTTGCACACGCCGAACACGCGCTCGTCCCCGTAGCCAAGCCGACCAGGCGTCATAACTCGACGAACATAACTTTCCATCTTGATATTTACCTCTGGTCGACAGAGTAGACGCGTCACGTCTATCGACAGTGCCATTTTCGTGTTTTTCGCGATTTCGTGACACTGAAAAAGCCTTCCCTTTGCCAGTTCGTTCTCTCTGTAATGTCGTTTATTTTATGCGGGCGGAATTCACGAACGTTGAACTCGGTCTGTTATACGTTCGTCGTGGCGGGCAAGGATTCTATGTACTAAACCACCATTCCACCAGTATGAGTAATATCGTGTCGCTACGCGAATTAAATTCCCATTTTACGATGCCTAATGACCGATAAATGAGTTGACTCGCGAACCGGCCTCGAATAAGTACATCCCGTAGCTTGGTGCTAGCAGATAGGAAAGGCTCTTCCGTGTCTCGCCAAGTTGTTAAATTGGCTGTAAAAACTGGCAATTATATAACGCAAACTCTCCTAGTCGCTGCCGATCATTCGAAACGAATGGTTGCTCATTATTAACTAGCACCACTGATCAACTAAGAACTTCCGTAATTGCCGACCTTGATCGGCTTAGTTCACCGGAGAATAAATAGAACGTTTTGTCGTATACCTGACAAATGAAGCGACCAGCTCTGAACAATCTTCAAGGCGTAGGGTTTCGTTTCATTTGAACAGCGACTCAGCGTTAAAATTGAAACCTTTACGTCGTACTTACAAAAGTTAAAATGTTGATTCAAATTTGTAGGACGAAAGTGTTAGAAAGTGTACACATGGCGCGGTTTCACGATTAACAACAAAGAAATATTGAGGAGCGCGCTGTACAGATTTCCGGGTTCCTGTCACTTCGTCGCATACAAACAGTTTCTCAGGTGTAAGGACAACGAAACTGAACACATACGATTAACCGAAGCGAGTGCTCGAGGCGTAGTTGAAATAATTGCCGGTACTGTTAGCTACACGGGTTCAAAGCCTAGGGTACTGGTCTTGTACCAGTCATACTCGGACGTATACATGTTCGAATAATGTATACTCAATATTTATCTGATGTGAGTATCGCAAGGGAACTGTAAATAAATATTTGCAGGTCCACGCTGTACCGATGTTCTATCCAGTAGAAATTGTGTATATATCTCCGAGACCTACCTAGTCAGCATCACGCTCGTTCCTCGAGCTCAACGGTTAGGAGTTGTTTAACAGGTATCCATCCGTTTCTAAGTCTATGAATAGGTACTCACCGTACCTACCACTCGTCTTTAGGTAGAGAAATTGCTGGTAGCGGTTCACGCGTCCCGAAATGTCAGATCTCACCCGCAGGTCTCCCGAACAACGGATGCAGGGCGAACAGCAAACGATGGGTTCCGGCGCGGCGGCTCTCTAGGAAAAGAATTGCTTTCTCTTTTGATCATGTCCGTCGACAAGGAGAGAACGAGGAGGCGATGTCCTCGCTCGTAGTCGAAAAAGCACCAAGTGTGACGAGTTACTGTTATTCTCCAGGCTGCATGCCGTTGCCGTTGTTTGTTCTTCCCGTGTCTCTTATTTGTACCTGGTTGGCGCGTGTTGCGCGATACACCATTGGAAACATGTGGCTTCATCCGCCGCGTATGTAACTGTCTTTTCAACAATCGTCGCGTGCCGCAACTGTACCTTGGTCGTCTCTGAAGATCTTTCGCGACATTCGTTCGCGATGTTTGAATAATGGTTTTGAAACGTTCGATAATTAAGTTTCACGTTGTATCTGTTTCAGCACCGAATACAATTCGACGACACGGCTACTCGTACCTTCGAATATCCCAGCGAGGCATCGATGCTCGAGGGTGAGAGCAGCGTGGATGGCGAAACTTCCGGTTCCGTCGAGCAATCAGCTTCGATCAGCAATAAAACGTCCCCGATGAATTCGACGACAAGCATGCCGACCCTTCTCGGTAATTTTAATCGCCATCTGTCGTCGCGATAGTCGATCTAACACGCGTATTTCTATCCGTGCAGTACCTACATACATATGTTTAAGTACCTTTCACTCGGAAACAGCCTACCTACTCCTGTTTCGGATCTTTTTACAGAAGCAACGATCTCTGGTCGCCCTCTTTCCCGCGTGAAACGTCCCAGACACTTGGAAGTTTTGTTAAACGTTGATTCCGTAAAAACAGTCGCTAGTGCATAAACACCAACAACAGCCAGCTTTCGATCCGAACGTTTTCTCTCGTTGTCACAATTGAAACAACACATTCATGTACACACATTACGTACCTATACGTGTTTTGTTCTCTGCTCGCGCTTTGCACTGTCCTTGTCCCTCTTGCTCTCCAGCCAGTGAACGTAGCATGCTGAAAGCTGGTGCTTGTTCCCCGCAGGTGGTGGTGGCTTAGCCAGTTACACGCCTAGCAAAGTGGATTTGGCGTCCGAAGGCTTCGAGCTGGGCGTGACCAGGGCCGTATATTCGACATCGACGCCGACCTCGACCTCGTCACCGTTAGCGTCACCCTTGCCATCGCCATCGCCATCGCCGTCACCGTCGACGCCGGGCCAACCAGAGAACGAGACCGGCGAGATCGACTATCTGAAACCAGCCCAAGACGCTGCAGCATGGGGCTCCGAAACAACCGGTGATCTTCTCTACTGACGCGGCCATACACCAGAGGGGAGGAGGCGCTTAGCCGGAAACTCGCTAGAAGCTCAAAGCACGGCTCTCTTCCGGGAGAGCCTGGAATCCCGAAGTTCCGTGAACTGATGAAAAGACTAACTGAAAAAAAAGTATTTTATCGTCATTGTTTTCGTAAACACGAAAGAACACGCTTTCCACCGATAACAGCCAAACCCCTAAAGTGACCACCGCCGAATATTAAGGGGGTTTCTACGTTCAGCCGCGAGTGACGCGACGAATGCTCATCTCTATGAATAAGTAATCATGATCTTTCGAAGAAACGCTTCATCACGCGGCGCGTTCACCAACGAGCAACGCCTTACGGTTACGGTACGCGGAGTACGGTTCACCAAGGCGCATGGAAGAATGAAAAGCGCCAGAAGCTTCGTTCGCGAACGCGTCGAGAAAGAGGCCACGTTTTTCATAGGCAATTAAGCGAAGACAGAAAAGAATAACAGTATCATTCCAAGTATATGCATTTATTTTGTATTACACTACGATAACGAAGTGAACAGACTTTCCTAATTAACGAGCAATTAAAACTGCCAAGGTACGTCAGTGCTTTTCTTTCTTCTTTATGTTTTTTTTCGTTTCTTTAAACTATTAAGCACTTTACACGGAGAGCCCAGTGATCGGTGAACGTTTACATAGGGCGAACGGATGATTAAACGAAACAAGGGGAAGAACGATAAATCATATCACACTTATGGCACATTTTATAACGAACGGAGGGATGTCGACGATGGAACTGAACGCTTGTTTGTAACCTTTTTGAGATTACTTTAATGTTAAGCCGTTTACACGTTCGATCTGCCAGTCGAAGGCCAGGATTTTATGCGAGATTTTATAGAGAAATAAACAAGAAAAGTGGAACAATCGAGTATAAGAAAAAAAAAATTGATGGAAGAAAATAAGAAGAGGAAACGGAAAACACTCGAGTATAGATTTGTAAAAGTTTTTGCCAAAGTAGAACGTAAGTCTACTTAATATACTTAATGTACGTGTACGATAAGTCGAAGTTTCAGTCCAGGGATAATGTGTAACAATTGTAAATTCCAAAAAAATATCCATTGTTTATACTGAGGGTATGTTATATACATGTAAACCATACTAATATTTCTTACGAATGCTCAAGGTTCGCTCATACTTCAGTGTAGATATAACATACATATACGTGTACGATTGTGTTTCGTTCGGTTCGTGTTGCCGCTTTTTATTTCTTATATTTGGACGAGGACCAAACAAAAAAAAAACGAATGATTACGAATTGTTTTGCAAGTTTTCGAAAAGAAAAATCTTCATTTGTTACCGATTGTTGTTAATTTTAAGTGAACCAAATTTTGTACATACTAAATTATTATCGGTCTCGAGGGTTCTCCGGGTTGATTCGTTCAAAGGATTCGATGAGTCGCGAAACTGCAATTACTTCGGGACCGATCGTTTTACGTGTTTTTGTTTCTTTTGTTTATTCTCGTTGTCTGTAATTCCGTTCGGGGATAGTAACACACGTCGAAAATTTCGGATTATTGCGTGGAAACTACGTTTAAATGTTTCAGGTATGATTGCGACAGTATGCTGGATTTGATTAGAACTTAATCGCGTGATTGCGGACTGATTCAAGAAAAGAAAAACATGCGATACGATTATTACGATGATAATTATCTGATTGCATTTGTACACCGAAGCAATGTCCGTGTTCCATTTTCCGTCGCCGTATTTAGATGCTATTATTCCGGCTACCCATTCACGTGTCCCGCGACCAAACGTCGCTCTTTATTCAATTCCACGTTATCGTTCGATCGATGCTTGATGGGTCTGTGTCACAGCGTTGCATTTCACACTGTGATAATTTTGTTATTTCCAGTTTCTCCCTAGTATCGACACAGATACAATTGCTTCCCACTCGTTCAAGGAACAACACCGTGTCGACCACTGAGTTTGAATCACTATAGAGTATGTACTACTTGCGGAGTAAACGAGGTTACGATCGCGAAACATTCCAAATTCAAACGTCTGACTCTTTGTTTTTATTTCCATTGATCGATCGATCAACCAGCACCGATGTAATCTCGCTACTCCGGCCGAGGGAACTCCGTATTATTTTTGTAAATTATCGCTGTACAGTATGGAAAGGCATCGTCGTTCAAGCGAAGGATCGAGGAGAAAATAGTATTGTGGTTTAAGATTATTATTATTATCCTCATTATTATTATTATAATTATCTTTATGATTATTGTTATGATTATCTGAAGCTTGAATCCACATTACCTTATTGAGTATACTTACAAGTTAGAGAAGTATTGTGTGATGTATCGTCTGTGTGTTACAAGGTATTCAAGTAATAAAATGAAACAATTACGCCCGAATTACCGTCTTGTTAAGCACCCAATCAGCAACTAGCGATGTACTATCAAAATTATTCTTATTTATTTAAATAAATATGTACAGTTTACCGAGCAAATAAATCACATTATAGTCACGGTATGGTCCGAGGGGTGAACACGTAATTATGCGTCTATAATAACAAAGTTTATGTCATTTATATATCGACGTATAGTATTCTTCCTCCAGATCATAGAGATCAGCAGCCATATCATCCCGTAAAGATGCTAATTTTTGATCACATTCCGCTTGTTTTGTCCTAAACAGTTTGCTGTTTTGTGCGATGGCTTCATTCACAGAGGGGAAGTCATTTAGTATCAAATACTGTTTTATATCGGAAACAAGCTTCATTAGAGATTCACCGGCGCGTACAATATTGGCTGCTCTGACATGCATTTCATACGTGTCCTGCTCACATTGTGTCATTCGCGATAATTGCGAGTCGCTTTCCCCTTTGGCTAGTTTTATAATTTCTGTAAATAATAATAAAAAGGAAATTACTATATGTAAACAAGTATTTGCAGGTTAGGTTTGACGTGTCATTAATATCAATAAGAAATCAACATTTTACACATAACAGATGTACGTTTTTGGCATCAAGAATTATTTTTTTCCATGCAATATGATGTTTATTTAAAAAAAAAATAGATAATGCATTGCGGCATTACGGAAACGCCGAAGTTGAGGTTAGAAAGCTTACCTTCAAAATTCTCCAGCATTGATTTCACATCGTCCTTTAATCTTGTCGTGTACGATTTCAGTAAAGCCTCTTTGCTTTGCGGCAGTGCACGTTGGGCTGCCATTATTTCTAAAAAAATAACTATCCCTCTTTCATAAAAACAAATCGTTTAGGTTACGAAAACACCGACCATGTTGTAAACTGCTTCGTGACAGAACCATGACAGTACAATCAGCTGATGCGATTTTACCGACTGAACATAACACAGCTGCGTGAGATTCAATTCGATTCTTTTTTTGTAACATTTGTGTACATATGTTTGCGTGTATATAAATTTGTACCGATCACTACGATCAAATAATGTATGAAATACTGAAATCGAATTCTCAACAAATTAACCAAATGTATAAATCAATAGCTACTTACAATCGTTTGTAAGGATGTTCCAAAACATACATCGCACCGTTCGGATTTTCATTTAAAAAACCGAATCGAAACGGATGTTTATAATCGAGCATTTTCAATTTGCCTTCTGTAAAAAAAGAATTACTTGCTCTTTCTAAATGCGATTCACGTGTCGAGACACCCAAAGTATATGTATATATTGATTATCCTAGTAGAAAACTAGGGGACAGTGCCACTCCATCCCCACTACGTTCATTGGTAGCCGGGATGAAATCAATAGGAAGCTTGAGCGAACGCGCTCCGTCTTCGGTAAATCTATTTGCACGCAAAATTCACGGGGTATCGCGCGCGAGGAGGAGCGTAGAAACCTGATGAAGGATGGCGAACGCGCGATCACTTTTATAAATGACGCGACCGTCGCGGCAGTGCCGAAACCGAGACCATCCCCTCGAGTGTATCGCTCCTTTTCACTCGCGGAACCCCGAACGGTGTTGTAAAATCGTCGCTTCATGAATTAGTGATTCTAATTTTAGAAACGGTCAGCGATCGACGACGATGGCTGCCATTCGCGTAAAGAAAGTGCGATTTTCAGCGTGGTGACAGTGGGGTGTGTCGTGGGGCAAAAGGGCGCAAAAAGAAATAGAAAACGGTTCTTTTGAAGGCTGTCTAGGTAGACACGAGTAGGATTTTCTAAAGCAGCACTATGATAGATTTTCTCGTGATACTTTTAACGTTAACGAGCGTGATCGAGGGTTCGTTACCACCCGACGATGGGGACGATGTGTTGCACATCGGTGGTATTTTCCCGATAGCGGGGGAGGGTGGATGGCAGGGTGGTCAGGTGTGTACCGTGATCACTCTTTTCTTCGGATTGTTTCGCAAAATGGTTAAAACTTGTTGTTTGCTTAACAGGCTTGCATGCCAGCCGTAAACCTTGCCTTGGACGATGTGAACCGTGAAAAAAATCTGCTGCCAGGTTTCACGCTGAAGCTCCACTCGAATGATAGCGAGGTACGTCGTGGAACACTTTCAATTTCTACAATAACATCGGGAAAGGTTTTTCTTAACATCTCGTCTTCTCGTTGTTTTAGTGTGAGCCCGGACTTGGCGCCTCGGTGATGTACAATTTATTGTACTACAACCCACAGAAATTGATGCTGTTAGCAGGATGCAGTACAGTCTGCACAACTGTTGCCGAGGCGGCGAAAATGTGGAACTTGGTGGTAGTACGTATAATATACATACTAACGAAGATAAACGCGTGACTGTGTACTATGGGGAGCTAACGAGATTAGCGTGAATTCACGCTAGAGCCGAGAATGCGTGTGAAACGAGGTGTGTTCCTTGTCCCTCTGATCAATTGTACCAGGATTACTTCTACTCGTCTCGTCAGTTCTCTATAGTACCTACTCAGGTATAGCACTGACGTGCGAACTCGGCTTCCGCTAAGGTACAAAATGGCGTAGAGAGTTAACATGTATTTGCGGTACTTGAAAGAAATGTATCAAATGTTAGGAAGCCCTTCTCCTACGCCAGTTTTTCCCCAAACGGAAACCGAGTTATTTCGTACAGATACGTATCAGATGTTTGAAAACTGGTATGATCTTTTAAATATATTTTTAGCTTTGTTACGGCGCATCGTCTCCTGCGTTGTCCGATCGAAATAGATTCCCAACCCTGTTTAGGACGCACCCATCTGCCACGGTGCATAATCCTACGCGAATCAAACTGTTGCAAAAATTCGGTTGGTCCCGAGTAGCAATTTTGCAGCAGGCTGAAGAAGTGTTCATATCTGTGAGATTTGTTTCCTTTAATAGCAATCTAACATTGTGTTCCCCGGGGGTTGCTTGTTAATCTCTCGTTCTACCAACAGACCGTAGAAGATTTAGAAGCCCGCTGCAAGGAAGCGGGAATAGAAATAGTCACGCGTCAGAGCTTTCTGTCGGATCCATCAGACGCTGTAAGAAACTTGCGCCGTCAGGACGCAAGGATCATCGTAGGTCTGTTCTACGTCGTAGCTGCGAGAAGAGTCCTCTGCGAGCTGTTCCATCAGAATCTCTATGGCAAGAGCTACGTCTGGTTTTTCATCGGGTGGTACGAGGACAATTGGTTCGAGGTGAACTTGGACAAAGAGGGGATCACCTGCACAAAGGATCAGATGAGATTGGCTGCCGAGGGACACTTGACGACCGAAGCGCTCATGTGGAATCAAAATAACGACACGACAATCAGCGGTATGACTTCCGAGGACTTCAGGCTACGGTTGAACAAGATGCTGAAAGAAGACGGCTACGATATCGATAACAAACGGTATCCCGAGGGATATCAAGAAGCACCACTTGCTTACGATGCGGTTTGGTCGGTCGCGTTAGGTAAAAAATTAATTAGCTTCTCACTTTTAATTGTTCAAATACAAAGAGATAGCCGATGAAATTTATTCCGCCATTAATTCCACGCAATTCCTCGGTGTATCTGTACGTGAAACAAACGGTGGTATTAGAAAGAAAGCTTTATTTCAAGAGGCCGATCCTTAATCGATTTTCCGTGCTGTAGGGATACGTTGCGTTCAGCTCTCAAGGCGACAGAATCGCATTGACCCAAATTGAGCAGGTGATCGATGGAAAGTACGTCAAGTTAGGATATTATGATACGCAAAGCGACAATCTGACATGGAGAAACATGGAACGATGGATCGGCGGGAAGGTACCGCAAGACAGAACCATCGTAAGGACCGTTTTGAGGACGGTTTCGTTGCCTTTGTTCATATGCATGGGGACTATATCCTCGGTGGGGATCGTGATAGCCGTTGGACTGATTATTTTTAACATTTGGAATAGACATAGAAGGTACATATCAACATACATACATTCAGTCGCGTCATATATACATAGATACATACCTATTTGTTTCGTTACCTTGAAGAGTTTGTCAATTTTCACTGTGATTCATTTCAGCGTAATTATGTCGTCCCATCCCGTGTGTAACACAATAATGTTGGTGGGTGTGATAGCGTGTTTCGTATCAGTGTTTCTATTAGGAATCGACGGTAGATTCATATCCCATTGGGAGTATCCAGCGATTTGCCAAGCGAGAGCCTGGATGCTATCCACCGGTTTCACTCTAGCGTTCGGCGCGATGTTCAGCAAAGTGTGGCGGGTCCACAGACTCACGACGAAAACGAAGGCCGACCAGGCAAAGGTAAGAGTTGAAACGGAAGGCTGCTAGAACATTCATTTAAGCTTTGATCGATATAATTCGACGATTAACTATCTGTCAAACTGATGTTTTTAGTCTCTCACTCAGTCTGCACCGTTCCTGCATGGCCCGCAGATCCTGCTCGTATGACACCGTCTTTAATAAAATCACGATTCTTTTTAGTTGTTCATGGCTAAACAAAAAGTTTCGTCCATACAGAAGAAAGTTCAGCCGTGGAAGCTGTACACAATGGTAAGTGGACTGCTGGCGGTGGACATTGTGCTCCTGATCTCCTGGCAGGTGCTGGATCCTCTGCAACGAAAGATGGAGACTTTCCCACTGGAGTCATCTCCGTTCGGTGACGACGATGCAAGGATCAGGCCCGAATTGGAGCATTGCGAGAGTGTTCATAATAGTATTTGGCTCGGTGAGTTGATCGATCCAACTATATGTATGTTGATAAACATCAAGTGATACAAACTGTCCCCTTCTTTCAGGTCTGATTTACAGCTATAAGGGGATCATTCTCGTGTTCGGGTTGTTCTTGGCTTACGAGACGCGGAGCATTAAAGTTAAACAGATCAATGATTCTAGATACGTAGGGATGTCTATATATAACGTAGTTGTCCTCTGTTTAATCACAGCACCGGTCACAATGGTTATTGCCAGTCAGCAGGACGCCAGTTTCGCATTCGTCGCTCTCGCTATCATTTTCTGTTGTTTTCTAAGCATGGCGTTGATCTTTGTGCCTAAAATGATAGAAGTAATCAGGCATCCGAAAGACAAGGCTGAGTCCAAATACAATACGGACGTGGGTATGTCGAAAGAGGACGAGGAAAAGTATCAGAAGCTTCTGAGCGAGAACGACGAACTTCGGAAGCTTATCGTCGCGGTAAGAACACTTTGCAGTTATCCATGAATACGAAAGATAGGTAACGTTATCTGCTAGCTAGAATTCTATCGGAGACTCTTCCTTTCCAGAAGGAAGAAAAGATCAAAGTTCTGAAGCAGCGGTTGGCTGAGACGGACGCGTTGAAAGGTGGCAGCGGAAATGTTCCAAAGGACTCGTTGATTGTCGCCGATTTCGTGACCGGCGAGGGGACCTCGGATAGCGCAATCGGTGGGGGCATTTCTGTTTATACACGATCATCTCGAGCTTCTGCCTCTGACTTTGAGTTCTCCGAGTCGTACTCGTAGACTTGCCCCGAGATAATTAACCTCCGTGGCGGTAATCATTAAGAATTTAAGAAACCTGGGACCTAAAGAGACAAGATGTATCGCTTCTTTCTTTCTTGCTTCCTTTCTTACGATCGCATTCGATTTTAAGACTTTTAGAGCCTTTTGAATCACGCGACGTACCTTTACACGCAAACACTTCTTTACGCCGAGTACGTATCGTGAATATTTGGGGAATCAAACCGAGCGGCACTCATGCAGCTCTTCAACGTTAAACTCGCGATGAAAACGGTGCATCGAAGTAACGAAAAGAACGAACACGATGAAAGTCTCTCGTTTAGTCACGACACATTCTTGCTACGTTCATAGTCGAAAAAATGCGTTGACCGTTCACGACGTGGCGGCGCGCTCATTCGTGTCAGTGTTAGTTTATTCGGTGTCTAAACGTATAAGTGTTGAATGTATGTGCCAGCTAGCAAATAACACGTGTGTGTATGTCTGCGTACAGGAAGATCGTAAACTAAATGTGAGCAATACGTTTCGATGTAAGGAAAAACAGTCAGGCGCGGAATCGCGATTCGTACGTCGATCGCGGATCGAATGTTGGCCTAGGAATATCGCGCACGGGTCACGTTTACAACGATATTTTATCATTACTTGGAGAGTTTATCGCACAGATACAGATATTGCCATATATCCAGATTTTATTATACGACATTTGTATAAAGAAATTTTATCGAATTCTACGCAACATCACGAACAAAGTTTGCACCGCGTTTCCCTCGATATTCGATGAGAATATCGCAGGATTCTACATATTCCGCGACACAGACCAAACATTTCGCGAAATATTCACTATTGGTTTCATTGCCGCGAAACGCGATTGTGGTATAGTGCACGAAGTCACACGGGTCCAAACAGAGAGAAGAAACATTTGGTACGATCCACGCGAGGTATTGTATAAAGACGCATCGTCTCTCGCTTCGAGTCGGTTTTACTATATTAATTCGTAATTCGCTTCGTCCAAACGTACAAAAACGACACCTCTAACATTCGTTTGTCTCAGGCCTAAAATCTTCATGTTTATTGTTCACGCATAATTTCCAGCAATTGCAGTTAAATCTCGTTAGACAAGAATCACCTGGTCGTTTTCCGAATCTCCGAATCGACGCGAACCTCATGAAGTCTGCTCCCAAATTGCATGGTACTCTGCAACGACGCGCGAAATTGGCGGTAACCGTGCAGATGACTGTTCTCGGGCAAACCAGTATGCAACGTGCTAACGAGATTTAAACGCTTCTGATGTCGCGCCATTCATAAATAATTTGGGAGTCTTGATGAGGTGACCGACGCAATTAGGACCGCCCAACACGGTTAATCTTTCAGACATGCGATGAATTCGGACGAGTGGTCACGCGAGCCGACCCGACGGTTCCAGTTATTTATGAATGGACAAATATCTGAACGCTTGTTTCGCATAGTATCTGAAGGATTATCGTTTTTCAATTCTTCTTTCTAGAAACGGACCAGGTCGGCTGAAAATCCAAGAGCCCCCGTCGATTAGGATGACGAAAGCAATACACACGTACGAACGGGCTAAAAGCTCCTCACTCTCTCCCTTTGTCTTTCTCTACCCTCTTCTAAAACTAATCTTTAATGTACACACGCGCAACCCCCCCCCCCCCACACGGAAATTCATATTTCTGTTTTCTAATCCAGACCTAACCCGGAGGTCGTGTCGCAATAACGACACTTCAAATATTCTCGTTGCATCGCTGAAGGAAATGTTGTCACGTGCAGTGATTACCAAGAGGGATGCTATTGCCTCTTTAAAATTATTTTAAACGTATGGCGAATAAAATGCGTACATAAAAAAAACGCGTAAGTTGTGTAGTTATCATCACAACTTGATCGGAAAAAGATTTCACATTTGCGAATGGTGTACGCAAACTTATATTGACGTGGAGAGGGTAAATGTGATTTGACTGCAATTCAGATTTTATCCGTATACAAGATGATTTGTGTATGTGTATAACGTAGACTGGTTAAGCCACGGAGCACAAGTTTTTCGTACGTGCATTTCAATTTCGCCACTCTACGTATACATGATGTTTAGAGAGACTCTACGAATGTTTCTGTTGATTCGTTTCTAGTGTACTGATCGTCGTAACGCCCATCCACTGTATTTTTTACTGTACTTCTTCGATCGACTGTCGCGTGGACAGCGCTTGACTACAATTATTACATATACGGTATATATATACATATACATATACATGTATATATACATACTTATATATAGTCCTATCGAACTGTTAAAGAAAGTATAATATACATATATGTATGTTAGAATATGGAGATATATTTATTTTTAAGTTTTTAAATTATAAAATTCGTTACAAATTCACACACTGTATCTGTTATTAAAAACCCTTGCGTTTATCAAACAGTGTCCCGCTTACAGATCTATCGATCGTTGCTTACGAAAGTTGAACAACGGTAGATCAAGCGGGTGGAGTCAAATTGACAAACTTTTACACGAGAAGTTTACGAACATTTTCTCCTTTCGTTCGAAGTATCAAAGTGACATGATCGGCTCATCGAAGAAATACATATATTTAATACGTCATAGATGCATACAGCGATTATGAAAATATGTAGTACAAATGAAATACGATTGTATTAAAGGAAAAAGATTCGAATAAACTCAGTTACGATTTAACAGCGAAATTTGTAAAATGTATTCCAACTGCTCCAGAGATTTAAATTTAAATTTAAATTCGCGGTGTCACGTGTAGCGAGTTGTGCGCATAAGCGGGAGTTTGCGTTCATGGCGCATGTCACACCGTCATATTCGGTCACTGTCGTTTATACGAAATTGTAAGGCGCGCGCGGTAAAGTGTGTTTTCGTTGTGCGTTGATTTCATTTTAGTTTGAGAAATGTCATTTGGCACGGGATTCGGAGTCGCAACTTCGACGCCTGGTTCTGCGTTTAGTTTTGGTTCCACGGCTTCTACTGCGGCCACGCCAGTGAAACCAGGTAAGTACAATTGTTTTAGGTTAGGTCACATTTCGAATTTCCATTTCTTCCATGTGACTTTTTCGGGGATTTTCTAGATCATTTGGCTTATTTTAAGTTCTATTCGTTTAAAAATTACGAAAATTATTATATGTTTTGTAAAATGCATCTTTCCAGATATTAGGAAGTCCCCAATTCGAAGGAAAGCTCCGATTTGTAATATGCCATTTCGTCTCTTAGTGCATATTTAAAATATAATTTACTGCCATTTACATAATTATTTTGTATGGTATATAACCATATCTTTGTTTTATATGGTATATAACCTCACTTTGTAGATTTATACCAAATTGAGATCTTTTCACTTTCTAATGTTTGTTTTATTTGAACACTCTGAGATTTTATCCAGCAGTGGTTGACTCATACCTGCACATCCTGGATCACATTCCATTTTGGGCTTACCAAAAAAATTCTTTCTTTTTGATTTGGCTATTAGGCAAGCTGTAACACAGCACATGAATAATATGACCACAAGCGCGCATAATAAAGCAACTAAAACTGGTGAATAACCAGTTTCATTGCCATCTTTGCTCATTTCTGCAGTATTATCATAATCAGATGCACCCTGTCGATTGTCACTAAATGCTGCTAATTTCGTAATATGAGTTGCATCCTCTATATCATACATTTCATTTGGTATTTTCCCTAATGTTGTTATCATAACCTCAGCTGTTACATCCTGAAGAAGAGTAGTAAATTATGCAAAAAATTAGTTATTGATGCATAATATATTAATTTTATACGATATAGGTTTAATATATATACCCCAATGGCTACATCTGTAGTACCAGTTCCACTTATCATTTCTGTAGAAACATCTCTGGGGTGATCAATATGGCGGAGTACTAATTTATTATTAGATAATGCAGGTATCTTTAATAATTTAGCGACAAGTTGTTCATAGTTTGTACCCTGCGATTTTATTTGTATTAAACTTTTTTTGCCTTTGCAAGTAATAACAAGAATCATACCTGATTTACATATGACATGATTATGTGTCTGTTTTTTAGGTGCTTTGCAATGGTGTATGATAAAACTTTACGAGAATGTGTTTATCGTTTCTAATATTACAATATTCCAAGTGTATTCGATATACTCGCGACACGCGCAATTATTAAATCCTGCTGACGACCGAAACGGAAGCTATTTCCGCGACTATGTGTAAAACGTTTCTGTCATTCTCTCGTTTTCGTATTTGATGCAATTTCGAAACATCAAAAACAAAATGCACCAATATCACAGATCACAGCTGTATTCATGTATAATAAAATGTACAGACAATTTTGGTTAAGAGTCATTCTTTAAGAATACAAATATTTTGATCATTTGGACACTAATCCTCTGACAGGATTTGTGACACCATCCTTCGGATTCAATACACCAGCTACTTCGGCTCCCAGCCTCTTTGGTGCTTCTTCCACCCCAGCAACTGGTGGCTTTGGCACAGGCACTGGATTTGGGACACCAGCTGCCACTGGGTTCGGTAATACATCCACAACTGGATTTGGTACTACACCTGCATTTGGAACCACACCCACAAGTGGATTTGGATCCACTCCTGCATTTGGTAGCACATCTGTGCAAGCAGGCACTGGATTTGGATCAACTTCAACCTTTGGTAGCACTCCTGCTTCTACTGCAGCCTTTGGAGGATTTGGAAATACCACCACAACATCGTCTTTAGGCTTTGGTAGTTTCAGTGGATTTGGAACAGCGACAACTACTTCTGCACCATCCTTCTTCGGAGGATTTGGTACTGGAAGTACAGCCCCCACTGGTTTTGGTGCATCTACAGGTTTTGGTGCATTTGGAACAAAACCAACAACTACAACTACCACCACTGGTTTTGGTGGTTTTGGCGCAGGTTGGGATCCAGTGATATTATACGTGTGTTTACAGGTGTAACAATAACTAATGTGCAATGGATTGATTATTCGTGCAGGTATAGGATTTACAGGCTTTGGAACTGGACTTGCTCAGCCTCAACAACAACAACCATTTCAGCAACAACAACAGCAACAATTACAACAACAAACTATTAATACTATATCAGAAGCGCTGTATAATGCTGTTTTTAATTGTCAATTGTACAACGACGAACGTGACAATATTATTGCCAGATGGAATCTCATACAAGCCTTGTGGGGCACTGGGAAGGCTTACTACTCTATGAATGCACCACCTATAGAGCTCAATCAAGAAAACCCATTATGTAGATTTAAGGCTATTGGGTACAGTCGCATGCCTGAAGCAGATAACAACGACGGCCTGGTTGTTCTTTGTTTCAATAAGAAAAAGAACGATGTAAAAGAGGGGGAGACACAATTGATCGGCTTTTTAAATAATATCTTAGGAAATAAACCAAATTTATCACTGACGATAGACAACATCAAGGCAACTGGGGAAGAAAAAAGTCAGGTGACTATCTTTGTCACGGAGAAGGGAATTACTGGAGCTCCCAGGAAAATTCCCGCCAATGAGTTGGTTACGTATTTATCGCAACCAATGCAGAAGCAGCAGTTAATGCAGAATGGTGTAGAAGACATGTTGCCTTTAGTAAAACTAGATCCCGTGCAACTGAAAGAATATTTAGACAATCCACCCTGTTCGATCGATCCTAGATTATGGAAACAAGCGCAACTCGATAATCCTAATCCAGGAATGTACATACCTGTGCCAATGATCGGCTTTCAGCAAGTGAAACACAGGTTGAAGTGCCAAGAAGAAGAAACAAGTAGGCACAGAAATTTCCTAGATATGGCATCCGAAGAAATACAAAATCTCCAGAGGCAACATACAGCGATACAGTCTAGGCTTAAAGAGCATAGGAGAAACCTGTTGGAACTTCAGCATAGGGTACTGCAAGTACGTATATGTGCCGTATTGTTCACCGATTAATGCACTTGCATGCAGTCGTGCTTTACGTCTGTCTTTTCTTTTCAAGGTATTGGTACGACAGGAAATAACTCGGAAAGTTGGGTTGTCCTTGCAGTCGGAAGAAGAAGTTCTAACGCGTAGGTTCGAAACCATGCACTCACAGATCAGTGCTCCAACTCAGTTCAAAGGTAGAATTAGTGAAATGCTATCTCAATTAAGAATGAGAAATCATATAGATACCCAAAACCAGGAAAGATACGCGATGGATCCTATAGCACAGGACGATATAAAGGCGGTGTGTAAAATTTATTTAAAAAATTTTATAAATAATAGTCCTTTGAAAGGGATTGTATAATTTATTTGTTCGTTTTTTGTTCGTCTTTTTTAGTATCTTAGTATGGAGCAACAGGGCATGGCGCAATTGATTTCAACGATACACTCCGATCTAGAAAGCTTAAAAATAATCAAAGACGGCATGTCCGACCTCTTGATGGGTCACAGTATATCGTGAGAGTTATATTTAGTACATTATTCAGGTGATTTTTATCAAAATGTTCACGACGACATAACTATTGTTTTCGTCGATGATAGACTCTCAGAAACTTGGAAAAGATACGTTAACAAGAAATTCCTTGCACCTCCCAAGTTTGGTGCCATATTTATTGTGTTTTCACCTCTCAGCTTCCGAAGGTTATATTTTTTTATTAGGAAAGATTTATTTACCCTAATAAATAATGTTGCCAACGTGAAAAGTTATCAACTTTTCACCTGTTACACAGCCGTTGTCCATAAAGCTTTCGCCAGTGGGACACTCGAAGAAAGCGTTATCGAGACACGTTTATATTTCAAGTATCAAAGATGAGGAAAACAGGCGTTCGTTATATACAGAGAAGAATAAAGGATTTTTACATAAATAATGTGCTTTTATTGGATAACTTCATGTCGTTAAACACGTTTCGCCACAACTCCTTTTGTCACAGAAATGCACACACATACTTCCTTCATACGTCATACATTTTTGGATAACTCACTACTTACACGTAATATATCTTTATATACATATTATACATCGGTGTTCGTTCAGTGTACATAGAATTCCGGGACAGTTTCTCACGTGATATTCTACAGAAGTTCGTCTGCCATAATGGTAGTACGTCCGATTTCAGTGCGACATATACAACTTTACGTTACTCCTACCTGTGTTCGGCGGGTTTTCTGTTTTGGTTAAGTGATGTGCACGGGTATCGATAATCCCTCCATTCTTACCGATTCATCGATCACCCGTAAATCTGGATCCAGGACTTCGTAACTAAGAAACTAAGAGAGGCATTTAACGAGTTAAGATTGAGCAAATCTTTTTCAAGCTATTTCTTCTCCAGCCACTGCTGTCCTACGACGAAGGAATTAGCATATATATTACGATATATTTGGTTTCGCAGTCTAATCAAAACGGAGTTTCCTCGCTAAGATCGATTCTTCTCACCGGTACGTTTCGTCTATATTACGTTTTCCATGAAATTTTCATTCGACTATCAAGTAATCTTTGTTTTATTGAGTAATTGGTGTGAAGAATGCCCAAACGTTCCACGTACATTCGACAAGAATTTCATCGAATGCAAAGACCGGCCGTGGTCCGGATATAATTTCCCGCAATTTGCGAATGCTCCAGGTCGTCCCGGATAACAACGATCGATAAATCTATCGCGACGGAATATGATGGTTTCCGGAAAATATCTTCGTCCACCCGGCGAGTAACGGGGCAGTGAACCCCGGGACGACCTCGAGAGAACGCTTCACACAGACCACGGCTGGTAGTTTGAGGCAGCTGACTTTCGAATCGTAAAATCAACGTTCTAGTCACGAATAAGACGTGGATCTACCACGTCCGAAAGCGATCCAGTGACAACGATCAGCTATAGAAATTCGCGAACTTGTAATTACTTGTTAATCGTCAAATCCAAAGGAAGATCTTGCTCCATTTCCACGACATTCTCGATCTTAACTCGAAGATCTTGTCCGCAGGTGTTGTTCGTATCCACGATGTTGCCCCACATATTCTGCAGCCCATACTGTAAGTCCACCGAGCCGAGTAGATGCCTAAACAAAGGATTCTGTGTTTTGAGGATTAGGTCCGAGAGGATTTTCGTCTTCTCTAGGATGTTATCGTTGCTATGCACGCAACATTTGTGGCGGCAACAGCAGTCGGTGGTGTCTTTGCAGATGTCGTCCTTGGTCGGCGTCTGGTCAACTTCCATTTTTAGGTCCTCCGCTCGTTTTATCACAGAATTTCTCACCGGGTCGCAGACTACGGTGTTCTCCTTTTTGCATGGGTTGCTGTTTACGATCGACTCGATGTTTCGGTAGTCGACGGTGCTGACCTTGCTCGAGTGTTCGTTTGGTTCCTCGGTCTTGATGGGCGTCGACTGCATCCCAATGCGAGACAGGGAGTCAGGAACGTGATGGGGACTGGTCTGCGGAGACCGAACCGGTGGGCTCTCCTTGATTACCGGGCTGTTTGAGACATACATAGGGTTCACTTGGATCCTATCTGCTATTACGTAGTTCTCGTCGTAAATCCTCGGATAGATCTTCACGTCCTGCTCGTATGCTTTTCTCGGTGTGATCTGATCTTGTTCTTTACGTTGTTCTTGCAAATTATACATGTTGTTCCACTCGACGAAGTTTCTCTGTTCCTCGAAGCTATTGCTAACTTTCGGACTCGATCCCGACGTACTGCTCTCGATGCTGCTATCCTTCTTATCGGATTCGGAATGGGTTGTGCTGTTCTGCTTTTCCGGCGAGGTGGTGTCGAACCTCGCCTTCTCTTGCGAGTTGTTGTCGTCGAAGCTCTTTTCCTGGACTTTGTCGTTGTTGTTCACGTAATGTCTGTAAGTCTTGACGTGCTTGCGCAGAGACGAAGGATCGGTGTATCGTTTCGGGCAACCCGGGACCTTACAGCAATAGGGTTTGTCCACGGCGTGGGTCCTGGTGTGCTTGAACCTGTCCGAAGAGTTCGAGTACGCCTTGTTGCAGCCTTCCACCGGGCACACGTAGGGACGTTCACCCGTATGAGAACGGGCGTGGATCTTCAGATTCTCCGCTCGGCTGAAGCTCTTGTCGCATTGGAAACAGTGATGCGGTTTCTCGTTTGTGTGCGTCCGAACGTGGACCAACATCTTGTACCTGGGACAAAAAGAGAAACACGGTAAAATACGATATTTCTTTCCGATGAACCTTGGCTAGCTCGAATCTAAAATTGCACCTTGTTCGCAATTACAGAGAATGGACGACCTTACCTCGCGTTAAATCCACGTTCACCTCTCGCGCATCCTTCCCAACCGCAATAAAACAGTCCTCGTGGTCCTGGCGCAGCGTGGAGTCGCGCAACGTGTCCTGCCAGTTGCTCCAAGGACGTGAACCATCGACCACAATTTTGCCATCTGCAATTCCATCGAAACAGGTTAGAGCATCTTCCATAATACAATACAATAATTTTAATCGTTCGCGTTCATCGTTCCTAACCGTCTAGAATGCGATCCGAACGATCGTTTGGAAATGATCGGGCGGCATTTGAGGGTATTGATCTTTGTTCGCGGATCGATCAATAGAGTCGATCATAATATTGTTGTCGTTTAAAGCCAATATCTCGAATCTTTCTCAATTCCCTCGCCGTCAATCGATCTATTTATACCGTTTATTTCCGCTGTCGTTTATTTACCGAGAAATCCTAAATATAACCGACACGTGCGTCGGGACGATCTTTGCATTTTGATGGATCGACGTATCCTCGCGTGCGCATCCTTGTCCCGAGTATTGGAAACGTAGCCGTCGTACGATCGCGAAATCGTGAATATTCTTGTCTCCTCCGGGCACGACGAGTTGTCCGTCGACTTTCAGCGTTAAACACGACCATGGCAGAGAAGCAGCGCGTCCCCACGCGAACCAGAAATGGCGCGTAAATATAGGTAACGTCGGGTACCTTGTTCAGCCGAAGTATCGACGCGCGATTTACGTCAAGAACGTCCATCCGACCAATTGATACCAATTACGACCATTGTGCAATTGGCGTCGCTTGACACCAGTTTATCTAGAGGCACCGAGTAGCTATTCCAGTCAACGGCATCGTGTGTTCCACGAATCGGTGTACATAAGCGGGCTTGTATGAAGGTCGTGGATCAAGGTGACGTCGCTACGCGACGTTTCATTCGTCTGTCAAGCTATCTGGCCACCCCGCCCCCTCCCCATTCCCTCGTATGTATTTTTAAGCTGTTGTTAGCGTTTCGAAGTATATACATACACCGTTCGCCGTTGGAACTCGCCCCAAAGATGCGAACCGCCTCCGGGTTTTGCAAGATAGTGCAAATTACTCGCGATTAGTCTAATCGGCAATTCAAACATGCTCGTCTCGCCACGGGATAGTACTTAGGATGCGTCGTTTAGCGAACTTGAAGTAAAGAGGAGCGGCTTAATCGGTTGTCATGTCTATTCCGGTTTCCCGGGGCGATAAGGAAACGTTTCGCGAGTCCACGAGACTGCCACATGCAAATCGCGCGCACGTAACAACCGCTCACGATAAACGGTCGTCATCTGCGCGGGCGCGTCGTTGTCGAGTCGGGTCACATTGCCGGCCGAAATCCAAGACGATTCGAAGTAGAGCGTGACGAAAAGTCCACGAACGGTGCTGTAATCTCATTACAGCACTCGTTCCGAGGTTATCGAAACGTGGCTGTCTTCCGGAACCGTAAATAGTTAGACGTATTCGAAAAAACGAGTCGTTCTCCACGTTCGTGCGAGCTTCGAAGCAACGTCACAAAGAAGATCGTCGGCGATGGAAGATCCTTGACGGTAAGCGCGAAATACGACGCAACACCGAGACCTTTAGAATCCTCGTCGCATCTCCGGGGGACTTGAAATGTCTCTCGATATCGATGCGGAAAACTGGTTACAACTGGAATACGACACGCTCGGCGAAGATAAATTAGCGTTCGTTAGAGGAAACGCGCAACTTTCCGTTCATGACCTCGTCAATAGATGAGCGCGCGCGTGCGCATTCGCGATTGTCCGCCGATTCGAAAAATACAAACAGAAAAGTGTGTGGAGTAGTCCGCGGTTACACCGATAACAAATCACGAAGCGGTCGATAAACGGTCTTTTAGCTACACGGCGCTGGATCGTCGTAAAGAAGAAGTCACCGCTCAATTTAGATAACGTTTCGTCGACGCGGTTTAGCGGCGCCAGTATCTGCAAACTGCTCCTCCGCGAGCTTCACTCCCGAGTAAACAGATCCCCGAGTCTCTGTGTGGATCGAACGGCACGAAGAACGCGGGAAACAGTACCGATGAAGATAAACATTGAAAAGTGAAACTTATGTACATACATACATAGAAACACATACATATATGTATACACATGTAATAGGTACCTGCATTTGAGTTGAGCGTTCTCCCCGCGACGAATAGATCCCAGTTCCAAGCTGGAACTGGAAGCGTCAGAGTCGCTGTGCGCAGGACTCGGTGGTCCACCGTTCGCCAGGCCACCCGAAGAGACTCCCAGTCCTGGCAACGCGGCCGACGGTGACGTTCCCAGTTCCTCCTCGACCGGCATCCTTCGCGGCCAAACCGGAAGGTCCAGCGGTGGTTGCTGATGCAGGCTGAGGCTTCCGTAGTAGCTGGAGTTTGGGCTGGTCGTATAACCGGAAATCGGGCTATAAAAACCCGGCACTGCACCTAGCAGGGTGCCCGGGTAACGAGCGGCGCCGTACGGACCAACGTGGCTTGGCATTCTACCGGGAACGTAAACGATCATCTTTATTCCCTTGTTTTTCCTTCTTTCTCGACTCGCTAATTCGACCAAACACGTGGAAATTTCACCGCGATCGTCGGTTTAATTGGATCCTCTTTTTAATTAGCCTGTTTAATAACCCTGATAATAGAATCGTGGTAACTCGGTGACCGTGTTCCCCTTGGCCAAAGGAGAGAGAGAAGAATTTACGAGCAGATGTTGCGCTCTCTTCTGGCCGATCGTATCGGTGAAACGTACGAAACTCTGTCTAGTACGATCTTTACGTGGTTCGTTTCCGTTACGAAATTTGGATTAGTTCACGGGGATTGGGTTTCTCTTAATTTTTATATCTGTGATTTGTGTTTGCTCGCGGTATATCTATAATATCTTTCTATCGATTCGAACCCTTCGGTTCGAGATGCTCTTTCCCACCACGATCTATAGCGTGCCACCGCAAAATTTAGCCTTTCGGCGAAAGCTTTCGAAAGCACGATCGGTCTCGTTCTCTCAGACTGCGTTTAGCAGACGAAAGGATTCGTGCATCGGTGACAATCACGAACAAGACGTTCCAGGTCTTGCCAGCGCGGGGGATCTTTTCGTTCGCTCGACCTTCCCGTTTCCCTGAGCACAGCGTACCTAGCTGCAAGTCGTCCACGGTTACACAGTACGTTCACATACACACTATTTGCCCTTAGCGCGCGCACCCTTTTATCACTGAAGTCCGAGTCCGTATCGTCAGATGTATTTGAACCGGTTCGACTTGAGTATACGGTAGCTCAGGAATTGCTTGCTGTACTCGATCGAAAACATAACTAGGCTGGCCCCTGACGGATTCATCAAACACGGCCACGTTTTCGCGCAAATCGCCGGCGCCGTTTCTCGTTCCACGGTAGACCTGTCACCGCGCTGTAAATCGGCAAAACTCCGATTCCCAAGGAAGATTAAACCGCTACAGATTGGTAAATGATCGTTCCTGCCGTCGCTAGAACGATGGTATTTCCATCTTTCCGCTCTTGTCGCGCTGTTCGATCTCTGTCGAGCGTCTCAACGACTCTCTTATCTTTGGGCAAAGATCTTCTCTGGCCGGACTATGACGCGTCGATGATCGGTGTCGGTTTCAGAAACGTCGATCAATCGCTTGTGTATCTCGGTGGCCAACTACACGTTGGACGTTTGCCTCTGTGGTGGTCACTGCGGGATACTCGAAGTTTTCGACGACCTTAAAGAGGGAGAGGGGAGAGAGATAAAAAGAGAGAGAGACAGATTTTGAGAGAATCGAGAGAAGCGGAAGCAGGGACTGCACACGAAACGATCGCAACCAACTACGAACTAATGTCAACGACGAACCCGCAGCTTTATATATAGCCGCGCTATCTCTCTCTCACTTTTTCTCTTTCTCTCTCCCTCTCCCCCTCCCCCCTTTCTGTCTCGTCCCACCAATACATCGACGCGACGCTGATAACGCGTAATCGCGTTATTTCTCATCGACGTCTCCTCGGGGAGGATACGTCAGTGGGCAAGCGATCCAAAGGAGAGTTCTCGTTGTACCGATTCCGTTGAAAAACGACTTTTTTATCACGCGAAGACGTTGCGCGCTCGTGTCGGAATTTTAGATGTCACGCAGAAGTAACGTGACGTACCGTTACCGAAGGAATTACACGGAGGATACCTGGTCGACGGTGATTCGTGCAGTTTAAAAATGTTTCACAACAACGAAACGTTACTGTCAAGTGCGAGGAAGAGGCGCAAACAATGGTCCTTTGTACTGCCTCGAATGTCCAGATTCGATGTGTAATTTTTATCATAGTTATATAATCTTATATCATGGTTCGGCATTTCGATTTACAACTCTACTAGCAACGTAGAAGAAACGTTTCAATACGACTGCCCGTGCACCATCGCGTAATGGGGTCTCGGTAGCTAGCAGCTACCGAAACGCAGCGGTCGGAGTCCGATCGTCGGAACGAAGGAAGACGAACGATCTTATCGATTGGATGAAGGAACGGAAAGAATGGGGACCGCCCAATCGAGTCGGATACGATCACCCCCTGCTGATCGTTGTGGTTGTGACGCATCGCGTTCGGGATTCCCGGGCTTGAAACGTTTTCCTCGCTCCTTCTTCTGGTGTACACCCACGAGCAAACTCGGCTTCCACTAGGGCGAAAAAGTGGCGTAAAATAAAGGCCACCTACCACATGGTAAATTTATTTCAAATACTGAAATGTTGACGGATGTTAATTTGGCATTGGAAGCCGAGTTTGCTCGCGAGGGTACATGCCTACATTGACATAACCCCCCGTCAGCCAACCGATACGTCGCGTCGTTGCCGTCGTCGGGCACATGGGCGATGGAGAACAAAGTCCTACGTATGTATCTTCGAGAACCCGTCGCGTTATCATGCTCTTATTAGCGAGCTGGCGCGAATGGATGCTCGCGAGCCGAGTCAACAGAAACAGACGGGTGTCGTCTGTTTCCAGAGACGGGATTTTAGAATCGTGCAGAGGACACGGTTCCCCTTGTCACAGGTGGTTTGGCTTCGAAGGTCTGGTGTATCAAGGTCATCGATGCCCGTGATAAAAACCATGCATTCGAAAATGGTAGTCGATTTGGATTCGAGCTCAGGGCAATCACCGCCGTAGCTTTCCATCGGATCTAAATAGACGATAAGATATTGGTGCACACACTGGCGAGGCCGAATCCACGTGTGCGGGGGCATCGCGAAGTGTACAAAACAAAATCGTTAGGCGCGACGCCGAGTTATCGGAGCGACGAAGAGGATCCCCCGTTCGTCTTTGCATCCCCTCCACGAAATTTCGGTAGACACGACTCTTCAGGTGCGGCATTAAAAACTTTTGACGTCAAGCCTCGAGTTGTCGCGGAGAGGAAAAATTCCGAGTTACATAATCGGATTCGTCAGAGGCCGGCAATCGCGGGAATGGCCGTGCTGTTGCTGACTTTGGTGAATTCCTGATATACAATATGTATATATGTACCCTCGCGAGCAAACTCGGCTTCCACTAGGGGAAATAGTGACGTAAGAGTAAGGGCCTCCTACCATTTGGTATCGGGTACTATTGAAATGTATGCCAAATTAACATTCGGTTTAACATTTATTTCAGTAATTGAAATAAATTTACCAAGTGGTAGAACACTCTTCTTCTACGCCGTTTTTTCCTCTAATGGAAATCGAGTTTGCTCGTGGGTGTACTCAGTGGCCTCGGTGGGCTTTGCTGGTGCTTATCGAGTGTCCGGTCCAGCCGGCAGCTGAATGAAAATTGCATCTCTCTGACAGATGCACTCGAACCGGTCGAAGCGATCGGTTCGCCCGAACTCGTCGACAAGTCTGCCGATTGTGTTGCACGTGACATTGAATTTATTCCGATCCTCCAGCATTTGACCGTCGCCCAAGGAACCTTGCGTGTGCCCACAAAGATCAACGAGTGGTCAATGATTATTGCGTGTCGTCGTTCGATACGCGACAATGCCACCATGTTCGCCTGTTGAGCGGTGATTGCGACGTCATCGACCGCAGATCGAAAACTACATATTCTCTTCGTATGATAAACAAGGATTAATAAGAACGAATGACAACGTGTCGAACGAGGTCACGATTATGACGATCAATTTCAATGAATAGCGAACCCCGTGTCTCCCCGTGTCGAGCTAATTCCGAGGGAGCATCCTCTTTCTTCTTTTTCTTCTTCGAGAAAGAGAGGGAGCAAGGGAAAGTGGAAAACCATTTCCTCTGGACGCAACAGATGCGGTAACAGACCTTCGACGTCCAGATAAATGGTTCGTTCTTCGTGAATGAAAAGTCGAACGAGATTCCTTTCGCTTTTTGCCCTACAATTGGAGCTCGAACAATGCCCCGGAGAATCGTCGAGCTCTGAGAAGAACGAGACGGTTCCGATGGTCCGTGAGAAATTTTGTACTCTACGTTTTTTTGCGACGAAGATTCGATACTTTTGTTTGTCCCTTTATCGCGGACGAGCGACGTTTCGTCACCGGACTGCTAATCCGAACGGCAATCTAATCGTACGACGCGGTGTGGCGCACAGTAGTCCCAAATCTCGAAAACCTGACTAAAATCCTAAAAATGAAAATTTCGGGTTTCGAAATATTTGGTTGGCACATGGATAGTTGGAGCATTAAATGGCGAGGGGTGGGGGTGTCGAACGTTTCTACCTGGCTCTATAATTCAGTGCAAAGGTAACCGTAGTTCGAATCGCACCTTAGGTTGGAAAGGAGTTGAAGCGTGTCGCTCATTTCAAAAAAGTGTGACTTTGGTGAAAGTGTGTCAATTTCGAATTTGGAAAATGGATCCCACTCCTGGAAGTAAGTAGAATCGATATCTACGTTCAAGAAATCATAATTAAAACATAAATCATGAACATTTGTAATCTCTTTGTATAAGAAAATAGGGAAAAATTTCATGTAAAAATTTTCAATCATGTTTTGTAAAAATCGAAGAACATCGATGTTTTTATCACCGTCGCGCTTTTTCGTAATTAGGTTTTTCCTATCTTTTATCGTTTTAATCTTTGCGGATATACCTGTGGTCAGTGTTATTTATCGTTACAGTTGAAAAAGATTGAAATAAATTCGTCTAAATTACGAACGATGTCTACACTGGACTATCGATTCCGCGACTGAAAACATGGTTGCCACTGAACGAGTGCAACCGTTTATAAAAAAAAAAATGTAAGCAACGATCTACACGAGAGACGACGCATTCACGGGTCGGCTCAGTGACTGTTTGATAAGATCGAGGGGGTCCACTTGCGTTGCCCGAGACGAGATACGAATAATTATAACGCGGTACGTGTTGACGTGCTGTTATTTTTCGCCGTTATCTGCCTGCGATATCACCGATAGATCCAGCTCTTAACGCACGGCGTCGCTGAAAAATTTGACGTTTTCATAGTCAATTGAGCTCCGGTTAATTGTAATTGTTCCGTTCTTGAAATTAATTCGATTCGATTCGATTCTCTTCGAGCACATATCGCGCGCAGTTGCGTAAGACGCAATGCTGTAAGAAAAGAAGATCGGAAGGACGCCTGAAAAAAGGTGAAAGAACAATCGAAGGGACATTAGAGATTCGGCATAATAAGAGAACTCAACAATGGCGGCGCGTAGCGTTTCTGTGGCGACACAGCAGATGCCAGACGGAAGATAGACA